CCTTTATCTGCATGTATTGAAACCATGTCGAGTTGTTACCTGCTGTCCTTAATTCCTCTAATGATTTAAGTGTTCAGATACTGTTTTGTTTTGCAAGTGTCTGTAAGTACACTTGCAAAACAAGTGTACTTACAGTGTCTGTAAGTAAACCATTTATCCATTGGGATCTCTCTTTTATGGTAAGCCTCAACTGGGGAGAACCAGAGGGGCATTTTATTATAAAACCTTTCCTTGTATTTTTCCCATACCTTTAGTAGTGCGGCCCTGATAAAATGGTTTGAAAATATATTTTTTTGCTTTTTGGTACCAGAGGTATGCATGCCACCCTTGGCATAGATCAAATCCTAAGCTTAAAATTTTCCTTTTTGTTAGTGTGGCCCAACCCTTCACCCATGTCAGTGCACATGCCTCAAAGTACGTTTGGAAATCTGGTAGTGACAGCCCCCTCCCCCTCTTTTTTTTTTTTGAGATTATTAGTATTTGGAATTTGATACTTGCTTTCTTCCCATCCCAAATGAATTTTAGAATATCTTTCTCCCATTCCTTGAAACTGTGGGATGTCTTTAATATCGGTAACATTTGGAATAGAACAACATTTTTGGAAGGACACTCATTTTTATGACTGCGATCCTTCCTAACAATGTCAAATTTAAGAATTTCCAATTTTCTAGTTTCTTTCTCATCTCCTTTGTAAAGCTTCAGATGAAAGCAAAATGACATCAAACAGTAGCACGTTTTTCATTAGTATGATATTAACTGAGGAAGAGAGAGGTGATCCACTACGAATTGCTGTTGTCTGAAGGGCAACTTCGTAATGTAACTGATTCATGGCAAATACAATATTTTGAGTGAGATAGTTGTAGATTCCAATGCCAAATACACCTTAGGGCTTTATCACACGAGGAAGCAAATCTCAATTATACAGCAGGACACGACGTTGTGCCTCACTTGTTTTTGCATTATATTTTGATTGTTATTGATTCACATCTTTTCACTGACAAGAAAAACCTCTTAATGGTTGCAATATTGCTATTGTACCATTATTCTTTTTGACGTGATTGTTTCATTTCACAGTACATGCGATATAATTGCAGTCATGTGGGAAGAGTGGACATTATTTCCTTTTTGCCCTTGCTATCCCCATGCAGAGTCACTACAGGGAAACGGAGATAGGCTTCCTTTTTGCCTTCTCCTTTTTGTTCCATTTTTTGTTTTGTCTCTCCCTCCTGACATTTTCTCCCTCTTCTCTCTCACTGAATATATTTATATGTACTGTGGAGAACTGGGAAAGGGTTGGCAGCTCACACCCAGGCAGGAAGGCGGGATATAGAGCAGCATTTCTCAACTTAAGGGTCAGGACCCGGGGGGGGGGGGGGGTTGCAAGGGGTTGCCAATGACCATAAGAAATACACAGTATTTTCTGTTGATCGTGGGGGTTCTGTGTGGGACGTTTGGTTCAAGGGGCTCTTTGATTGTAAGCAAACTATAAATCCAAGCAACTACAACTCCCAAATGTCTATTTTCCCCAAACTACACCAGTGTTCAAATTTGGATGTATTGAGTATTCATGCCAAGTTTGGTCCAGATTCATCATTGTTTCAGTCCACAGTGCCCTCTGGATGTAGGTGAACTACAATTCCAAAACTCAAGGTCAATGCCCAACAAACCCTTCCAGTATTTTCATGGGTCATGGGAGTTCTGTGTGCCAAGTTTGGTTCAATTCCATCTTTGGTGGAGTTCAGAATGCTCTTTGATTGTAGGTGAACTATAAATCCCAGCAACTACAACTCCCAAATGACAATATCAATCCCCACCCCCCCAACCCCACCAGTATTCAAATTTGGGTGTATTTGTTATTTGTGGCAAATTTTGTCCAGTGAATGAAAATATTCTGCAAAGCAGATATTTACATTACGATTTATTTATTTATTTATTTAAAATATTTATATTCCGCCCTTCTCACCCCAAAGGGGACTCCGGACAGAGCACAGCATATATACGGCAAACATTCAATGTCGGGACACAAATTCATATACACATACATAAACATTAAAAACATTTATCTCAATATTAAAACACACCATTTCAAACCAACCAACCTAATTGGCCTGGTAATCTTTCCTATTCCTTCTTCATTGCCCTGTCCCAAAAGCGTGGTCCCACAGCCAGGTTTTTACCATCCTTCTAAACGACAGGAGAGAAGGGGCCGACTTGATCTCACCAGGAAGGGAGTTCCATAGCCGGGGAGCAATCACCAAGAAGGCCCTGACTCTTGTCCCCAGCCAAACTACAGTTGTGAAGTAGCAACAAAAATAATGTTATGGTTGGGGGTCAACACAACATGATGAACTGTATTAAGGGGTCGTTGCATTAGGAAGGTTGAGAGAGAGAGCTCACATCTATGTGACAAGGATGCATATGAGAAATTGCAAGATTGAAAGGGACAACTTTTATAACCCGTGGATTTTTGTGAAAAGATTTCAATTGTGCCACTCATTTTTTTTTAACCACAAGCAAGTTGACTTTGGAGTCCTTTCATCCTTGTTTGTCATGCTCAGTAAAGTGCCCTCCCACTTTCTTCAGCCTCAAAAATGTTACCAGCAAGCATATAGTGAAAAGAAGGAAAGGATATAGACTTTGGTGATCAGAGAAATAAGCATTTTAAAAATTCTGTGATTGCACAATTGCAGCAAAAATAAGCAGTGCACATCCGCAATATGGGGTGGGCATAGTTGGAAGGCAGTGTCAGCGAAGCAGTGCAGAAGACTGATAGTAGGGCAGTGCATTGCCAAAGCAGCACCGTAAAACTGTTGCAGAGAGGTGTGATACGGATTGTTTCCATTCTGGCATTTTCTCAAAGTGATTACTGTGAAATAGCAGGCAGATACGATAAAGTCCTTAGCGCCACTAACTCATTAAAATAGAGTGATACTTCTAGATAATGGTTACTATTTTAGTCACACAATAAAGCGACTGTTATATAAACAGAAATTACGTGACTTACATTGATTTATTTTCACCTGCCCTTGTCACTTGATACATTAGTTGATATAATAGCTTAATAACTTACTTCAGGAATCAATACTAGCTGGTAGGTGATTTTTCTGTTTATCACTAAAGTGATTATTCTTCTAATCCATCTACACCACTAACACTCAGCAATGCAATGCCATGCCTATATAATTTTTTGATACTACTATCCACAAACTATATAGAAATTGCATCGCAGAGTGTTAGTGGTGTAGATAGATTAGAAACATTAATGCTACTAATTACATGAAATAAAGTGGGATAGATTAGGAAAGACACAATAGTTTCAAAACAGATCAATTTATCATCAGGGTCACCAAATGGTGGGAATGTTGACATGCTGATTATTGCTCAGCTCTGTATACCCATAGTATATAACTCTAGTTTCATGGGAGTGCACTTGCAAAATAAAGCCAGGATACTGCCATGGCTGCTGATGTCTCAAAAAGTAATGATGACTCCTGAAATCAGGGGAAAACAGTGATATCCCTCTATATTTTCTATAAAGGGAAGATGCTATGGGCCTTTCCACACAGCCCTATATCCCAGAATATCATGGCAGGAAATCCCATGTTACATATGGCCCTTCCACACAGCCCTATAGCCCAGAATATCAAGGCAGAAAATCCCACAATATCTGCTTTGAACTGGGTTATCTGAGTGTGGACTCAGATAACCCAGTTCAAAGCAGATATTGTGGGATTTTCTGCCTTGATATTCTGGGCTATAGGGCTGTGTGGAAGGGCCCTATGTAATAGGAAAAGCATGCTGATTACACAAAGCATTAGATAAAGTATGAAAATTACCCCAAATAGCTGATCATCTCTTCTGCTTTACCAACGTTTTATTTTCTCTCTTTTAAGAGAAATTAGGCTATCAGAAATACAGATTAGAACATGGTACATAAAGGCCTCAGTGCAACATCTCCTTTGCTGATGATAATTGCTGTCAAGTCAACTTTTGCTCATAGTGAGCCTATAGATTAGAGAGCTTCAAATTCCCATATTCTCAATAGCCCTAGTCAGGTCTTGGACACTCAGATTTGACTTCCTTGGTTGAATCTCTTCACTTGTGATGCAGTCATCTTCTTCTCCTACTTCATTCTATCTTGCTAAACACTACTGTATTTTCTAGCAAGTCACATTTTTTTTAATGATATTCAGTCTCTTCTGAGTAATCTTCGCTTCTAGGGCAATTTCAGGCTTGATTTACACTAGGAACCATTCATTTGTCGTTTTTCTACAGTCAATAGTATTTGTGGAACTCCTCTCCAACAACACTTTTCAAATGAGTTGATTTTCTTATTATCATATTTCTACATAACCCAACTTCCACAATCATACATAGAAATGGGATATACATTTGAACATAAGTTATGGTGTGACAATGCAATCCCCATGTAGAATTGTGCAATGCACGTCAATGGCTCGGTACCATTGTACACTGCACAATATATGCCATGCTTTCACAAATATAGAATGTACAACTGAAGCCCAAAGTGCATGATGCCCACCCACAATGTATAATGACAATGCTAAGTACCGAATTTGCAGCCACAATGCAAAGTATGGGATGCACAGCCTTAATGCCTAACTAGTAAAGACAAGGCACAAATTAATATGCTGTCTCAATACCTCTGCAACAAAATATATCCACTACACGGTGATGACTTTGACACACATGTCTCCCTTGCAAAGCATGACTTATACATTTATATGTCCCTGTGTGTATTCCAGCCATTATAATGTACAGGTCCATTAGAAGGTTTGATTGGGGGTAGTCATAGTTGGGGCCACATCTGCTCAAGTTCGCACTCAGAGGCTGGATTTTATTAAAGCAGATATCCAAATAATGCACAGCCTGGGCATCACTGTTTCCAACCAAGTATTTCATCAATGGAGAGATATTGCTTTTTTATATATGTTTTGTACTGAAGCTGACACCTTTAATCAATTTCCCTTCTTCCACAGTTTATATCCAAGTATGCCGAGCCCTGATGATCATCTCCCTCATCTTAGGCATGTGTGGTGTTTTGTTGAGCTTGCTTGGTTTGAAGTGCACTCAACTTGGCTCTACTAGTGAAAATGCGAAGATAAAGATTTCCATAACAGGTGGAATGATGTTCATTTTAGGAGGTGAGACTATCTGATAGACTACATACCAAAAATAAAGATAATGATACAAAGTAGAGGTATTATGGAGCTTGACGCTCTTTCCTCATGGCACGTTTTTCCCTTTTGCCCTCCATTTTGCCTCTTCAAATTCTGCAGCACTGCTGGTCACAGCTGACCTCCATTTAGCGCGTTCAAGGGCCAGGGCTTCCCAGTTCTCGCTGTCTATGCCACAGTTTTTAAAGTTGGCTTTAAGCCCATCTTTAAATCTCTTTTCCTGTCCACCAACATTTTCCATTCTTGGGTTGGGAGTAGAGTAACTGCTTTGGGAGACGGTGGTCGGGCATTCAGACAAAGTTAGCAGTCCAGCAGAGTTGATGGTGTAAGAACATCACTTCAATACTGGTGGTCTTTGCTTCTTCCAACATGCTGACATTTGTCTGCCTGTCTTCCCAAGAGATTTGCAGGATTTTTCAGAGGCAATGCTGATGGAATCATTCCAGGAGTTGAGTATGACACCTGTAGACAGTCCACGTTTCACAGGATGGGAGGACAATAGCTGTATAAAGAAGCAGCTTGGTATCCAGTTAGAATTTCATGTGAAATGACTGCTAGACCAGTTCTGATCCTAAAAACAAATGCTTGTTCTGATGTCAGGGATACTCTACTTTTTAATTCTGTTCAGTTCAATAATTATTTTCTTTGCGCTTACTTCCAGTTGATGGACTTTGAGGTTTAAATAAAATGAAGTAAAATCTTAGGCCCCATCTAAACTGCCATATAATTCAGTTTCTGAATCAAGATTATCTGCTTTGAATTCGATTATATGGCACTGTAGATCTATAGATACTTGAAATGTGCATCGTATTTTCAGATAGCTCCTAACATAACACATGCTTACATTTAGGAGAATTGTGGGTCTTCAGATTTTTGGGAACTAATTCCCAGAAGTCTCAGTCAAAAGGCAAGAATTCTGGAAGCTTAAATCTGTCAACATCTATAAATCTAAAGTTAACATGGAGAACACCAATCAGGGTGGGAACAGAAGAAGATTGCCTATTTTCCAGAATTACTGTATGTTTTCTCTTATACAGATTTATGCTGATTGAATAAAATAATTGACTGAAACTCGTAAGATCAGTTGGTTATCCTTCCATTCATCACAAGGCTGAACAATTATATATTGCCTGAATAATATGTTTATATATATTTATAGTGTATTTATTTTATCTAGGTCTGTCATCAGTTATTGCTGTTTCATGGTATGCAGCACTGGTCACAGCTCAATTTTTTGATTCATTATATGGTGGAACCAAGTAAGTTAATGGTCAATCATATATTTCTAGCTCAATACAGCATTTGCAGCATATTTTAGCATTATCAAAACATGATCAGGATATGTATTATGGGTTGAAGATACCAATCAACACTGTGTGTACGCGCACAAACACTTTCATATCACTTGTCAATTTATGGCAATCCCATGAATTTCATTGAGTTCTCTTAGACAAGGTATACACATAAGGGGTTATTATGCCAATTCCTACCTCTAAAATATAGCCTACAGCATCTAGCAGTCATTAGTTGTCTCCCATCCAAGCATTACCCAAGACTGACTCTACTTAGCTTCTAAGATCAGATGGAACCTGGTGCCTTCAGGGTCTTTCGGTTCCAACTCTAGCAGAGTTGTGTTATCGAAGGCTTTCATGGCGGGAATCACTGGGTTGCTGTGAGTTTCTGGACTGTATGGCCATATTCCAGAAGCATTCTCTCCTGATGTTTCGCCCACATCTATGGCAGGCATCCTCAGAGGTTGTGAGGTCTGCTGGAAACTAGACAAGTGGGGTTTATCTGCAGAATATCCAGGGTGGGAGAAAGAACTCTCTAAAATTAGAACAGCACAAGAACAGAGAGGAAAAAAACAAGGACATCTAATCACCTCTCAACAAAGGATTGCTCCAGGCACTGCCAGGCAATCAAATGCTAATCAAGGTGATAAGTTGAAACATTCACACCTGGCTCCAGCAGACCTTTGTCCCACCCTGGTCATTCCACAGATATATAAACCCTTTTTCCTAGTTCCAACAGACCTCACTACCTCTGAGGATGCTTGCCATAGATGCAGGCGAAACATCAGGAGAAAATGCCTTTAGAACATGGCCATATAGCCCGAAAAAAACTACAACAACCCAGTGATTCCGGCCATGAAAGCCTTCGACAATACATAGAACTCTTGTCTGTTTGAGGCAAGTGTGAATGCTGCAATTTATCACCTTTATTAGCATTGAATAGCCTTACAGCTTCGAGGCTTGCCTGCTTCCTGCCTGGGGGAATCCTTTGTTGGGAGGTGATTAGCTGGCCCTGATTGTTTCTTGTTTGGAATTCCCCTGTTTTTGAGTGTTGTTTTTCCTTTATTGTTCTGATTTTAGAGTTTTGTAAGAGTTTGCATTGCAACATAGCTAAAAATGTAGCAAATATTTTATTACTTGTTTTCTGTCCTTATCCTGGCAAAAAATTGACAAAACTCATAATGATGCTATTGCTCATTGTTACTTCAGTGACCTTGCACTACTTCTTATTTTCCCAGTTCCTGACTTCTATCTTTTGCTTGTTCTGAAGTGTGACCGAGAGAAATAAGAAAGAGCCTCCCCTTTTCCTCCATCACCGTCCCACAAGTATATTTGTGATAAAAGAAGGATTACTGTTGAAAAATTATAGTAGTGGTATGCTGCCTGTTGATCACAGGCCACCCCAATTGTCTGCACGAATCTCCAGTATGCGGTCCACTTCATTGGGTTAAACTCTTGCCCTGGACAATCACAGGTGTCATCTTTGCCCTTATTGCAGCCACTACACTGGTAACAGAAGTAGTTTGATTTGATTTTACAACATTTTATTCATCCTTCTTTCTTCCAGATATGAATTGGGAACTGCATTGTTCGTAGGTTGGGCTGGTTCCCTGCTTTCTATACTTGGTGGGGTCTTACTGACATGTTCAGGATGCAAAGAAAAGCACAGGTAATTGAATTGTTTGTGTTAAAGTACAACAGGTATCAATGAGAGAAATAGAATTTTATTTGTGCCAGATGCCAACCAAAGGTTTGAATACCTTCTTTGTCTGGTTCCAAACTGAGTGGGAATCTAAATTCCTAGACATTTTAACTTCAAAGACAATCATTTGGTCTCTAAACGGTGCTCTATGTGCACAGTTGCCTCTCTTGGATCAGAGAGTGACAAGACCTGACACACAGCACGTGGAAGCAAGTGAGGGTGGGATACTAAAATACTAAAATGATCATAAATTCTAGTAATTACTTCAGGTGTATTTTCAAAGTATAGCAAGTGTCACTTTATTGTGGTTATCACACCAGAAGTGACTTGCAGTTTTTCAAGTTGCTTTTGACATGGAAACTTTTTTTTACCATTTGCTTTTAATGATATCTGTAGACCAGGCATGGGCAAACTTTGGCCTTCCAGGTGTTTTGGAATTCACCTCCCAAAAATCCCAGCCAATTTATCAGATGTTAGAAATTGTGGGAGTTGATGTCCAAAAAATCTGGAGTTTGCCCATGCCTGCTATAGACTATGCTATGGCATTTTAAAAACAATACATTGATATTTTCTTTGAGTAAGAGTTGTAAATGTCTTTTTAATTGCAGAAACCCAAAATATGATTATTCTGCTGCCCAGCGAACCAACAAATCTCGTATTTACATCAAAAAGTCGGAGACGGTCATGCCTGTCCAAGACTACGTTTAGTTGTATTAATATTTTCCCTTTCCCAGCTCATTAGGAACTCTCCCTTCCAAACTATGTTTTATTTTAGACAGACATTTTTCATTTTAGTACTGAATATTATGGTATGTGTATCATTTCCTTCTGGGAATAATCAAAACCACAGTGTGGATATGTGTGAGGACAAGGCTTTAAAAAACAGGAAAGCCATAATTGCATTCCTCAAGCCCAAGGATCCTTCTTTCTCTTTTGTTTTTTAAACTTTTTCTTGCACTAGAATACTAAAAACATATTATCATTTTAGGAGTAAAATTGTTTAGAATTTGCCACCAGAACATTTAGCAAACTGGTTATTGATGAGCAATTTTTGAGGAAAGAGTAAATCCTCCCAACAAAGGATTTCCCCAAGCAGGAAGCAGTGAAGCTTTGAAACTGCAAGGCCATTCAATGCTAATCAAGGTGGCCATTTGAAACATTCACACGTACCTCAAGCAGACAAGAGTTCTTTCTCCCACCCTGGAAATTCCACACATATATAAACCTAACTTGCCTAGTTTCCAACAGACCTCACAATCTCTGAAAATGCCTGCAGGCGAAATGTCAAGACAGAATGTTTTTGGAACCTGGCCATATAGCCTGGAAAATTCACAGCAACCCAGTGATTCTGGCCATGAAAGCCATTGACAATACATTCTGAATAATTCAAATGGATTCTTATTCAAGCCATTACAATGGTAGCTTTTATGTGTTGCTCGTGTATAGGGTGACAGGCATTGAGGACAAGCTCGCAGGCCCCTGCTTTCAATCTGATTTGAACCACAGCAAGGAGTTCCACACTTCCTGAACATCTGGACTAAATGAAGACACGGGTACTGTGGTTTCAGCACCAGCTCCAACAGCAGAGACCTTTTTCCTTTCCTCCTTTCTCACTGAACTGAGCTCCCTGTTTCAATGTAACAACCCTTAATAAAGAAGTATCTTTTTTTCCTAACTTTTCCTCTCCATAGTGATATATTGTATCCCTTTACTGACTCAAACACTAACTAACATGAACCTTCCCCTTCCTGAGCTGCAGATCCCTGCTGGCTCACCCAGGATGTTCTTACATCCTGGGGAGGCCAAAACGGTGTTTCTCTGAACCATGGATACGGAGACCCATTGGGACCCCATATCCACGGGTCAGCGGATCAGCTCCAACCAGCACCATCTTTTCCCTAGACTAATTTTAAGACTAACTGCTATCTTACTTTTTGCATAATGGACCCCTGTGCCCCGGGAAAACCATTTTTGTTCCAAAGATCTCATGTGGGGACCAGCTGGCCTCAATTTATGGCTCCTTGCTGCAACAATGTTCAAGCCTCCGTTTCATGTGCATCCAGAAGCCTGTTGACTCTGGAAAGCTCACTGTGGTCATCCCATGGGACCCCCAAACCCCTGACAGGCCATTTTGCCCTTATGAAATTGGATCTGTAGTTTTCTTTTTCCTTTTATGGACTCCAACTTCCCAGTGCTCCCATTGACTTCAATATGCTCTTCATGGACTTTTATGAACTTCTCAAGAACTTTTGTGAACTTTCTGGGATGGGCGTGGGAAATTTGAATTTGACAGCTTTCCTTCAACTTGGTGAGATGTAATTGGGAAAATTAGGGGGAAATCATTCTGGGTGTCTTCTGTCTCACTAGGTGTCCGGATCCACTTTTTTGGGTCTGGCCGGTCTCTGCCTTGGCAAGGCCTTCCAAATTCATGTTCGACATCAGCATTACACAGATGCCTGTTGTGGCTTACTGTGTGTAACCTTCTCAGTTTTAGCAGCATAAGCACTCTTTTAGACATCACAGAAGGAGGCCTCCAGGGGCCCTTGAACAGTGCCTTTGGGGTACAAGGTCAATTGGAGGCTCCACTACATAGCTCTGTCCCCCCAATCAATGAATGATGGGACCCCAGGCAATGTCCATCTACTTTTGCACATTCAGAGAAGAAGCAGCCATCTATGTCTTGCTCAGGAGGAAGCAAAGGCTGCTTTCTTCTCTCCAGAGGGTATGAAGATTGAGCCATGGCATCTTGGGCTTACTCCATGACTACTCAGTGGCTGTGGGGGCTGAGAAGCACCTGAGATCTCTCCACTTGCCTTTGTGCATCCAGGGATGAAGGTGCAACTTGTGCCCTTTCTGATCATTCCAGAGTAGTGAGGTTGGCAGGTGTTTGTGTGCCACCTGTTGGATGTTGGCCTTAGAATGTCTAAAGTGTGCGTTTCAGACACATATTTTTGTTCATCTGCATATTGCAAGAAAGGTCTCCATTTTTCCAAAAGCCAAAGTTTGGGAAATCTGTAGCTTCCAGAAATTGGCCATGCTGGCTAGGGAAATCTGTGAATTGTTTTGCTGTTTATTTGTTCAGTCACTTCCAACTTTTCATGACCTCATAGACCAGTCCACGCCAGAGCTCCCTGTCAACTGTGAGTTGTGGCCTCCTAGATTTCTTTTTCTGAATAGCTTCTAAGGCTATAGATGGAGCCCATGACAGACATGAGAGATTAATTTCTGTCCCCACAACCATTGATAGCTCTCAGCTTTAAAGCATTGCACCACAGAATCTGCAGTGGTCAGAAATGTTAAGAATAATTGTTACATATTTATAGCTGATGCTTATGAAAGTAAAGAAAAAGAGAATACTATTATGTCTCTGTTGTGTTTTTATGTTTGTAATAAGCTTGTTTTTTATATTATTATTCTGGTTTTCCTTACTAAAGATTCAGGTTGACTCTTTCAACTGACTATGGAAAGAAACTCAGTTATCCCCCTAAAGCAGCTTTTCTCAAACTGAGGGTGGGGATCCCTGAGGGACTATCAAGAGGGTGTCAGAGGGGTCGCTAGAAACCATCAGAAAACACAGTATTTAATGTTGGTCATGGGGGTTTTCTGTGGGAAGTTTGGCCCAATTATATTGTTGGTCGGGTTCAGAATGTTCTTTTTTTTATATATATAATTTTATTGATTTATCACATTTATTACATACTATTGCATTCATTGATTCTAAGAGAACTATAAATCCCAGCAACTACAACTCTCAAATGTCAAGGTCTATTTTCCCCAAACTCCACCAGTGTTCATACTTATTTATTTTATTTATTTATTTACTGTATTTGTATACCGCCTTTCTCAGCCTATCGGCGACTCAAGGAGGTTTCCAACAAAACAGTATACATAATATCATAGTACAAATCAGACATTCAAACAACATAAAACACAACAAGCAATAAAAACAACATAATTAGCATCTCCTCAATATGCCCAAGCGTCTACTTGGCCATATTGAGTATTACTGCCAAGTTTAGTCCAGATCCAAAATTGTTTGAGTCCATAGTGCTCTCTGGATGTAGATGAACTACAACTCCCTCCCTCCCCAGGAACAGTTTACAAATTTTTCTGTATTTATTACTATTGTTCGATCATGAGAATAATCTTGTTTAATTCCTTATATTTATCTTTCCCCTATATTCTGTAAATAAAGCCTTTCCATTTTGTCTTGCATGACTTTCTGATTTAGCCCACACTGTAGTAACTTTTCCTTTTGCTGATGTAATCTTGGAGGAAGTCGTCTGCTAAATATTTATACCATGTTTTTGTGTCCTATTTCTTTTGGTCCTTCCAGCCTAAAGCGACTAAGGCTTTAAATGCATCTAAGGGCCCTTCCACACAGCCCTATATCCCAGAATATCAAGCCAGAAAATCCCACGTTATCTGAGTGTGGACTCCGGGAACCCAGTTCAAAGCACATATTGTGGGATATAGGGCTGTGTGGAAGGGCCCTAACATGTAATTTATTAATCCCTCCCATTCTTTAGATCCCCCTTTGCCTTCAATTTTCTGGAGGAAAAATTGTGTCTTGTTTCCTAATAGTTCCTCCATTTCTTCCTTAATTATTTTATGGAAATTTTGTATTTTTTCATAATCCCACCACATGTGGGTGTATGTTCCGGTATTCCTGCAGTTGTCCCATCATTGTGTTGGGGAGGTTCCGGTTATGTGAACTAATTGCACAGGAGTTCTCTACCATTTTGTCTGGATTTTCCGTTGCATTTCCTTTATATTTAAATGTTTTATTTTATTAATTGAATTTATCAAATTGTCTATTTCAGTCTCGCTGCAGCTTATTTCCTCCTTCCAGATTTCTGTCAAGGTATTTTTATATTGTATAAAACATGGGCAGCAGTCAAGGTGACAGGAGTTATAGTTAGAAGCAGATAAATAAGTGGTTAGAAACCTCTGCAATTGAAAATAGTGACATTAAATTCATGTATGGTTACATTTATTTGAGACCATAAATCCAAACACCCCATCCTAAGGAGCCTTGTGTACGTCAGTCCTTTCCTGGCATGATCTTTTGAACCACTGTTAAAATGTATGGATCAGACATGGACAGACCTTTTTCGTTATGGCTGATTATCATGTTAATGTATACATATACAATCAGAATATTTTTGATGAAATAAGATGGTCTAGACATACTGCATTACAAATACGCTTTCAAGCATTTTCTGATGTCTCTTCCAGACATCGTTTTAATTGCATTTCGGAATAGCAGAGTTTTGTTTTCTCTCAGGAACATAGTCTCTGCGGCTTTATGGCTATTTCTAAGTGCAGCCAGGATAGCTACAAAAACATCTTCCTGGGGTACAGCATATGGCTTTCTTCTTTGCTATTATTTAGGCACATACAGCTCATTCCCAAAACAATAAACTTGAAGCAGAATCATACTGATTGTGAAGGAGTTTTTTGTGAGGGATCGGCCCGGTGCTGCATTTGTAAATGCTCTTCATATTTCTGTAACTGAGACCAAAATCCTGGATTGGGCTCTGCTACAGGTCTGGCCATTTTTACAAGCTAGAAAGGGGAGAGAAAGAAAACACATAATATTAAATATAGTGGAACGGAAGTGTCTTTCCCCATACATTGGATTAATTCTAGAAGTCTAAAGATGGTAACATCACTTGGTTAAGAAGAGCACTGGCCATTGATGGAAGATACTTTCCACGTTAACAGGGCAGTGACTATGAGATTTAGTCTGAATTTTAAAGGGAACAACTTAGTGTTGAAACTATTTTTGGAATAAGATCAGCACCTTGGGTAGCTGTTTTGAAGTTCAGGTGAAATCTATAGGCTTTTTGTGTGTGTTGGGGTGACTTGAGAAACTGCAAGTCACTTCTGGTGTGAGAGAATTGGCTGTGAAAGGACATTGGCCAGGGGACGCCCAGATGATTGATGTTTTACCATCCTTATGTCTCCGCATGGGGAGCTGGAGCAGACAGAGGGGGCTCAACCCACTCTCCCCAGATTCGATCCTCCGACCTGTTGGTCTTCAGTCCTGCTGGCACAAGGGTTTAACCCACTGCGCCACTTGGGCCTCTGACAGGCTGAAAACAACAGATTCAGTGCCCATTTTCTGTAGGCAACATATCCAATGGGGGGAAAGGGTGAATCAGAATCCAATACTGCCTTGAGGATCACTCTCCCCAAGCTAAAAGGATCCATTGAGTCTGCTCCCTCCAAATATTTTTTTTAGTAAATTCATTCCATCCAGTAAAAACTGCACAGTGAAGGTCATCTATAGAATGGATTATACTCTATTTGCGTCTTTGTTCTTTTGTTTTTCTAGAGTCATCTAGGAAAGTAACTCCCCAAAGGCAGTATTAACACTGAATCCAAGTAAAGAAGTTTTTTTATGATAAAGGAACAATCAGAGTTCCTGTAGGATACACACATTTTGTCCCATTATTATCTATAGATACATTAGTTTTGTGATCAATGCAAAACCCTAGCAACATCTTCTTGAGGCAATACTGAGATGAGAAAAAATAATAACCTTTAGGCAAGTTACATGTGATGATATTTTTGAGCTATGCATGTACTTGCCAAGTGTGGAACAGCTTACGCTCCAAGATTTCATAGCCAAAACCTCGGATCTGGGGTCACATTCTGTTGATGCCCAAGGGATGAGGACTGGTAATGTCATTAAGCATAAATCACAACTGCTGAGAGCATGTCATTCAAATACATAAGCAACAACCACAAAGTCTGACAAATGAGAGTACGTCAAGAGGAAAGGAAATTTCTGGAGACTCTAGTCTATTGCGTCTTCTCCAAAGTAAATTGCAGTGGAAGGAGCCAGTGGATGATGTCAGGAGGATCATTCCAGCATTCAGTGTTTCTGAAATACTTGGGTATTAATACCTACTCATTGAGAAACCTGCCACTGTCCCTCAATAAATTGGTCTAATTTGATTCCCGAAGCTGACATTTTAAAATGTTAATTGATGTATTAATTCAGTGGGTTTTAAGTGAAGAAGTAAGAAGCAGAAGAAGAGTTTTAGTGAGAGTCTGCAGCTATCCACACTGCAGAATCTCAGTGGTTAGACACTGCTCTAGCACCATCCTATGGTATCATGGGATTTGTAGTTTGTTGTGGCAGCAAAGGTCTCTGGCAGAGAAGGGTAAATATCTCCCAAACCTACACAAAAAAGTCCACAGCAAGGAGCCATGGTAGTTAATGTGGTGCCAAACTGTAATAGTTCCATAGTGTGACTGCATTCTGCAGTGACTGGGGGATTTAAATCAAGTTGCAAAGATAATTAAGTTGCGTTTCTTATGCTGTATGTTGGTTTCAGTGGTATAATGAAATGAAAGCACACAGGGTCAAAGTACTGGGAATTATAGATTAGTTGTGACAAAGACATCTTTCCCCCTCAAGATTCCTCTGATTGTAGCAAAACGGTTAAAGAGGAATTGATTTTCTGCAGCAACAACACTGTGATATCCTGGGGAATGCACAATGCATATGTGTCCCTACACACCCACAGAGGTACCAGCAGTTTGGCTACTCCTCTGTGTGTGTGTGTGTGTGATATTGGGACATGATGGCAAGCAACCACATTTCAGAATACAATCAGCCCATCATATTAGATGGGGCTAAGGACATTTGATCCCCATGAAAGTGACAAACCGTATAGGAAAAAAGGCATTTCTTTAACTTGAGAGAATTTTTCGCCAGGAAGCTTGACGCCTCTCCTGGCTCTCTTTTCCCTGCACTGGGTTGGTCTCGTGACATCACACGGGTCCTCCCTCCTCTCTCCCAACCCACCAACCATTTGCCCCTCTAGACCTGTCCATGGAGCTCCCAGTGGTGCAATGGGTTAAACCCCTGTGCTGGCAGGACTGAAGACCGACAGGTCGCAGGTTCGAATCCAGGGAGAGGCGGATGAGTTCCCTCTATCAGCTCCAGCTCCTCATACGGGAACATGAGAGAAGCCTCCCACAAGGATGATAAAAACATCAAATCATGCGGGCGTCCCCTGGGCAACGTCCTTGCAGATGGCCAATTCTCTTACATCAGAAGTGACTTGCAGTTTCTCAAGTTGCTCCTGACACGACAAAAAAAAAAAAACAACCCTGTCCATCATCCTTCCCTTCCTTCTCACACTCTCAACCCAGAAGGGCTCCCATCTGCAGGGGAGAGTGAGGAGGAGGAGGAGGAGGAAGCAGGCGAGGAGGAGGAGCTGAGCGAGTGGAGTGCCTGCAGGAGGCGGCTTCCCAGTCTGGTATCTCCCATGATACCCATGGCAAGGAGAGGTGCAGCTCCAGTGTAAATATATACATTAATATATTTATTAAAAACCGTGAAACAGCAAGTCTGCAAAAAGCGAACTGCGAAGTAGCGAGGGAACACTGTAATCTAATTCACAAAAGTCAACCCCACAAACACGAAAGGCTGACTATACAGTATATCACAATCTCCCTGCGATTGATTTCCTTTTAAAAGGTGCACTAAAATAGCTTTTCCCTCCAAATCTTAGAACTTAAAATATTACCTAAAAGCTTGCTTTATACCTAGTTGAAATACTAGTTGTCTTCTTGACAGCGTAAAACAACAGAGCTCTATAATAAAGGCAGAGTATTCCCCCCCCCCCCCCCCCCGCCACCCATGCCCCTCCCGCATTCATGCTCATAATACCTCAAAGGCCTCCTTCAGGCTGAGATTTTGGTTTCTCATCAAGTGAGCTGTGCAGATGGCAGCAGATCTGCTGCGACCATTTTTGCAATAGACTAAGCACCTCCCGCCATTCTGAACTATGCTTTCTATGGCATCGCTGCAGCGATCAAAATACTTATACAAGTCCTCTGAAGGGTCATCAAAGACGGGAATCCTCAGCGTTTGGATTTGCTGAGTGCTTGGGAATGGCTGCTGCCTGGAGACGTTGAGACAGAATGTAATTCTCTCTTGAGTGAGGAGGCTCTCGTTGCAGGCTGACTTGGAATTGCTGATAAATAAGGAGTCTGTGACTTTACAGAGGCTCAGCATTTGAGAGGACTCAAAGGACGACAGCACTGCATCAAAAGGCAACCCTGAAGCTTCCTCTAAGCAGAATGCCGGGAAGCTCAGCGGAGTTCAATACTTCCCCCCTCAAAAAAAGTGCAGTGCCATCAGATCACGCTGGATGTCTTGTTCTGTAACCATCTGTGCGCTGTGCTATATTTGTTCTGCTTGTAGTTCGAGGGATTACATTACATGAATCTGTCTCTCGGTTCCTTCTGTAAAAAGGGCAACACTATTATTATTCGGTCTCACAAAAACAAAGCTCTTATTCCAATCTAAAACAATCCCTAACACTTTTATCTGTTCGTTTAAAAATATTGTTTCTGCTCTTTGGGAGCAGGCTCTCTGCACGACTGTTTCTTGGGTAAGTTAGAAAGTATGTGCATGTATTTTTCTCAAGAAAATAAGTGTATGTGAGTTGTATAGCAAAAAATGCAAGTTGTGTGTGTCATGTAAAAGGCTACCGGATTTATCATGGCATACACTTCTATGAATAAAGTAGATTGTAAAAACAACAATATCAAATATTAAAAGCCTGTCGAAACAGGTATGTCTTACATGCCCTGCGGAAAGCTGGTAAGTCCCGCAAGGCACGGACTTCAGGTGGCAGAGTATTCCAGAGTGATGGTGCCACTGCTGTGAAGGCTCTGCGTCTGGTTGCTGTTAGACGCAAGGTCTTGACACTGGGAATTTCCCATAGATCTTGGGAAAACGTAATGAAAGCCCTCCTGACAAAGAGCCATCCAGCCATAGATATAGATAGATATGATTCACACACACACAGATATAGTATCATAGATTTGAAAGGGACCCCTACAGAAGGACAATTTGCATGTTACATGCTCCAGAGTAGGCAAACCATACAATCTTTACATCAACACTGACAAAGAAACAGCAAGAAATACTGTTTACCCACAAGCAGAAAGAAATTACATATATTAGAAACCAACACTTTCTCATTACTTTATTTTCCAGATCACCAAATTGGGCCACAGCAACACGTGGCAGAGGATGGCTAGTATATTTTATGATACTTATTATATGATACTGCACTGAGTGGGACTCGGTGAATGAAGTACACCATACACTTAGAATGCTTAATCTCTAGGAAGAAAATATAATGAGAAGACGGAGAATTATATCTTTCCATTCTTTCAGTGAACTCTTCAAGTATTCTTGTTTAGCAGCAAACAAACACAAAGTTTTAAGGCTTTGGAGATACCTGACCCTGTGTGCGGTGCTTCACCTGGAACTTGAGTATGCATCTAAAGCAGCAGGGGACAATACTGTTGGCCTATAACTCCCAGCAGTCTTTATGAGTACAGTATAATCAGTGAAAATAATGGGAGCAACATTCTTTAAACATTAGAGGGCCATAATTACTTGTCTCAGTCTAAAACTGTGCTTCTCAACCTGTGTGTCCCTAGGTGTTTTGGCCTATAACTCCCAGAAATCCCAGCCAGTTTACCAGATGTTAGGATTTCTGGGAGTTGAAGGCCAAAACATCTGGGGACCCACAGATTGAGAACCACTGGTCTAAAATATACCCATTTTTTGTTGCTCAGGAAATTGAGCTTTAGAGTCCAAGGTTCTCTACCAGCTGTTGTCTGATAGATGCACTGCACTTGACAATGGTGCTGACAAGGTATACCACACAAAACAATTCATACCAAACACCATAGAACCACAAAAGAGAAGAGCGAAGAATGAACAAGGGAACCTTAGTCATATTTTATACAACCCACGGCAGTTTCTGGGGGTTCAATTTGCCTTTTTAAGGAGTTTTGTCAACCCCAGGGGTAGCACTACGTCTATGCAAGATTGGGACAACTACAAAACCCTTGGTATATTTAATATGTTTTATATGTAACAACTACCTTAACTACCATAGCAAGGAGGTTTGAGTTTTGAACTAGGACTCTGGGAGACCATGGTTCAATTTCCTGCTCAGCCTTGGAAACCCACTGGGTAACACTGGGCAAGTCACAACTTAAAGGAAGGCAATGGCAAACCTCTCATCATAAATTGTGTCAAGAAAATATATAAGAGATTCACCATAAACTGGAGTTAATACCAAGGCGCATAATAACAACAAACACTATTAGATCAGTGAAAGGTAAATATAGTCACATATTACAGATCTCATCAGGACACACACACAGCCGAATTATGACCAGACATACACTTGGTATATATCACTGCATAGGTGACTGCAAATTGAACTATTATTATTACTCATTTATTTATTTTTATCCCGCTTTTTTTCCATGGGTGGGATTCAAAGTGGTGAACAATGGTTAAAACAACAGAAATTACATGACATAAAAAGCACAACATCACAACCTCAAATGATACAGAAAGTACTGAAACCAAAGTGATTTTGCAAGTGAGTTTTATTTGAAAAAACAAGTAATTTGAAAAATATTTTCACTCTTCCAGGAGAAACAAAATTCTATATAAAATCCATGAACAAAAAATATTTGATACAAAGAGTCATAAAAGGGTCATCATCACGTAGTAGCTCAGAGACTGAGAGAAAAAACATGGTAGCATAAGCTTTCATAGAAAAAGCCGACTTCCTCAGATGTATCTCTAATTTGCAAACTCATATTCCAGACAAACACAGCTACGTCTTTGAATCATGAAAACAATTATAGTTATTCAACTATGATTCTCTTCCCCTCTTATTACCAATCAATTAGTAACTGGCCACAAGAAGCCTTGCTTGGATAAATCCATTAACTTGGAATATTTATTAAAGTGGTGTAATATTTTAAATAAGACATATATCAGAAGAGCACTTTCATTGTAACCTCTTTCAGATTTCTAATCTCCGAAGGAAGCAGAAAATTCATTCTACCCACTAGCTTCTCAAAGTAAGAAAAGGAGCAAAAGAAATTCTGGAATTTTCGGAATGGAAAAAGAGACATTAAAATCAATAAATAGGTTCACTACCAACCCACTTTGTGGAGTAAAATGAGTGGGAAATGGCAACACCAAAGGAAGGTAAAAAACTAGGTCGGCAGCCCCTATTAAAATAAAGTCAAGCAGTCCAGGTCAAGCACAAGAAGGCAAAGAACCAAATCACGAGGAGATATGGAGGTCAAGGCAGTCCAGGTCAGGGTTAGAGAGTTAGCAAGTCAGGCAGTCCGAAACAAAAATCAAAGAATGAAAAACGCTAGTCAGAAGCAAGGTTCTCAAGCTGCTGCTAATGGCGGCGGAAAAAGAGAACTGGAGGCTGTGCCCCTCCCACTGGCTACTTAAAATCAGAGGGAAGAGTGGGCGGGGCCTACCACCAAAAATGTTTAATAGAATTTCTAGGTTTCAAAAACTGTTCTGCGCAGGTGCAGAAATTACCATATGTGCAATTCACAGTTGACCACGACAGGGAACCGTTCTTTTCTGAAGGAGCAAAGGAATCCTGATCTGTACCTGCTGTCCCCACTGTGGTGCTGTATGAGTGGGAGAAATAACTTGAGCACAAAATACAGCCTCCAAGTCATCACTTTAAGCAGACCCCAAAGTTTTCAGAAAGCCTATATTGCAAAAAACTCTGCATTCTGGGAAGCGAAGATCCATCCAGATTAGGTTCTGAAACCATAACGTTGTCCATAAACACCCATTCTCCACTTGAGCGCTCAGTTGATGTTCCTCTGAGGAATAGGAAGGTTTTCATGAAGGAATTTCATGCTTCCTTGCTCTGAGAAATCAGAAACGATGTGGTTCACCCCTCTTAGCAACCATTTGGTCGTCAACAGCCCCTCGATTCCCACTGGCCCACGGGCATGGATGCGCGATGTGCTGATGCCAACCTCAGCCCCTGCATCAGTAGGACATGGAGAAAGGCAAGAAACTGAGTGAGGAAAAGATTATCCAGTCAATGTCCAAATGTATATCCCACTATGAACCATCACAGAGGTTAAGATCATCTGGGGAGGCCCTACTCTCGGTCCCACCCCCCTTGAAGGTGTGACTGGTGGAGACAAGAGACATGGCCTTCTCATTGGTGGCTCCTCGACTATGGAACTCCCTTACCAATGAAATTATATCAGGGCTCTTCTGCCTGGCTTTCAGAAAAAAGGAAAAACTTGGCTATGGGAACAAGCCTTTGGGCAGTAAGCAATACAAGGAATGATCAGGGATTATGTGCAATTGATATGTGATGTTTGGAACAGCCTTGGACCATGATTATGTGATTTTAATGTTTATATTAATATGTTTTTTATGCTTTTATTGAGTTTTTTTAAGAATAAAAGCATTTGGTAACAAGAAAAATACAGCACATTTAACTGTTAGGTATTGTAATGTTAATGGCACTGTTTGATTCCTGCACAAAACACAAACGAAGTGGACCATGTCAGCTTTAAAAAAGTTTGGATACTCCTAAATGTTAACTTTATATTAATATGTTTTAAGCTCCACTTTTTAATGTTTAAATGTTGTTACATTTTTATGATCTAATCGATAGTTATATGTTATTGTTGTTTTATGTTAGGTTTCATATGTATATGAAGCATTACATTTTGCCCTAAATATCTTAGAAACCACTTTGAGTCCCCGTCCCCCCCCCCTCCCCCGGGGTGAGAAAAACGGTATACAAGTGAAGTAAATAAATAATAAATAAATCATCATACATCATGTTTTCCAGTCCAAGTCCTCCAACGCTTTTATTTCTCCCCAACTTTCTTTTGCCCTTCTCATACTGTCTTCTAGCTGCCAGTCAATTTTTCTGTTTCTGCCTTACATGATAGAAGATTCTTGTTTTGATGCAGTGAAGGAAACTGAAAAGCCAAGCAGGTATCTCCTCTGTGACCAACAAATTGTGTAGATCAAGTTCTCTTTCCAGTGGAATCGTCACCTGGAGCCCCCAATGGCACAATGGGTTAATCCCATGAGATGGCAGGACTGCTGACCAGAAGGTCAGCGGTTCGAATTTGGGGAATGGGGTGAGCACCCATCTGTCAGCTCCAGCTTCCCAAGTGGGGACATGAGAGAAGCCTCCCACAGGATGGGAAAACATCCGGGTATCCCCTGGGCAACGTCCTTGCAGATGGCCAATTCTCTAACACACCAGAAGCAACTTGCAGTTTCTCAAGTTGCTCCTGACATGAAAAAAGCAACTTGAACTAAACTGTCCATATGCTAACCGCAAAAGTCCTCATTTTACCCAGAAGTTAATGTATTAGTTTTTACAGATATTAGCAGCTGTTCCTTTTTTGCTGCCAACCTCAATCAAACAGAAGTATAGACAACCTCAATTTTTCAAGGGCTTGTTCTTAACAGATCAAAATGATAGCCACCTATCACTCTTATCAACCCCAAGGCTGGTCTTTTGACAGCTGCTGCTGCTTTTTTTCTGTCAGGCAACTTAGTGCAGTCTTAGTCTACTCAGTGCCATCTAGTGACCAATCTTGTTTTTGCAAGCTAAAAAGACAATTCTACTTTTCGACCATTTCCATTTTGGGAAATTTCCCTGGAACCCAACCGGTTAAATAAGCAAGGAATGGCTGTACAGTAGCGATTTTAAAAATCTAAAATTTTCAAGAAAAGGTGACCAAATGTCCACATAGATATCCATATAGATTTGATGTCTACCTGCCACATGTTTAGATGTTGAAAAAACAATCAGTTTCAACTGAAGATACTGAAACATACCTAAACATCCCTTTTATGTATTATTTTTAGTGTTTTATCAGGGTTTTTTATTTTATGATGTTTTTATTTTATTTTATTTTATTTTGCTATTTTGATCATAATGTTGTTTTAGATTGTCTAATCATTAGACTCTAATGTGTCTTGTCCTGATGTAAACTGTTTGAATTGTTTTTCTTTTGACACTGAATATTTGCCATACTTGTTGGAAACTGCTCTGAGTCCCTTTAGGGAAACAGGGCAGTCTATAAGTTTTATTATTATTATTATTATTATTATTATTATTATTATTCATAACATAATTCATTGATCCTTTATATTATACATGACTATAAAATAAGGAGTCCCTGGTAGCACAGTGGGTTAAACCCCTGTGCTGGCAGGACTGATAGGTCACAGGTTCGAATCCGGGGAGAGGCGGATGAGCTCCCTCTATCAGCTCCAGCTCCTCATACAGGGACATGAGGGAAGCATCAAATCATCCGGGCGTCCCCTGGGCAATGTCCTTGCAGACAGCCAATTCTCTCACACCAGAAGCGACTTGCAGTTTCTCAAGTCGCTCCTGACATGACAAAAAAACAACAACAAACTATAAAATAAGATCCTTCAGATGAAGTTGGACCCTTACTCTTATCAGCAGAGTCAATGGTGAGGAATGATGAAAAGTGTAGACCAGCACCATATGGAGGGCCATGCTTTGCCACAACTGCTGTAACCATGTAATCACAGGTTAGCCTCTACCTTTTGCTCAGGGATATAAACAAAACTCTGAAGCAAGAAGACTCTCCATGAGAGGTGGTCAATATATGTTTCCCAAGCTGCCTGACATGATGAATCAGCAATGATTTTCTTTTCTACTGGATCATAGACAGGTATTATGTTTGTTTCTATTTGCTATACTTGTTTGTTTGTTTTTCCTGGAAACTCATCAGGGACTAGTTGTCAATGGTTCATGGACTGATACTGATCCACCGATCATCTGTTTGAGTAGCACTGCTCTAGGTCACTATGTTTGTAAGACATTGAAGCTTTTACAGAGATCTCAGGAAAATTTGTTTTTACTGAAAAATTTGTGACACAAGAAAGATTTATTCTCTTCTCCTGGATTCAAACAGTTTCAGTTTCTGTCAGACTTTCTCATGTGATCTCAAGCAACATGGGACACTTTGTCAAAGCTCTCTTACCTAGCCCAAAGCGATAGCCATCAGAGAAGCGGGTGCTGGCGTTCCAGAACACACAAGCGCTATCCAGATGCTGAAGGAAGAATTCAGCTGTTTTCTCTGAGGAAGAGATAGGGAAGGAAAACATTCACGTACCCTGCTTTACAATAGAACAGTACCAGGTGGAGCCACAATTCCATTGTGGGAGCAATTTGCTTAGTTCTAAAACAGCCTTCCAGGTGTTTATGGGATTTGTAGATCAACGCATCTGCAAGGCACCGGGTTGGGAAAGGCTGCACTAGGAACAGTTACTTTGCCACTAACCATTTTCTGTGATGATGACATCCGTATGGGAGCTCCCATACTTGTGGATGTGTTCAACAGCATCCTGCGCACTGTCCACGACTTCAATACAGCACTCCAGGTCCCCATATTCTGTGCGGAGGGATTTCACCTCTGAGGGGCTGAACGTCAGATATGAGGCAAATTTGGGGCCCGCATGAATTTTCACCTAATACACAAGACAAAGCAATTCAGAGCATGTTCCTCTTGCAAGGATATTCTACGCAAAGACAGGCTGAAGGGCTGCAGTTTAGTGATAAATGTCCAGTTCACTTCCTGATGTTCTCCAGGTAAGACTGGGAAAGACCTCTGTTTGCAACTGTGGAAAGAAGCTGCCAGTCAGTGAGGCCAATACTGAACAAACAGTATGATTTGGCATCACAACAGCTTCTGGCCCTCCTGAAGTGCTTTTCCAGAAAATGCTCTTCCCCTTCTCACTATGGGACAAATGTGCTTGATCAGGTTTTCTGGCCCCATTTTCATATCTCCAAGAAGCATAAGCTGAGATGGCCCCAGTAGGAACCTAATTTCTCACCTGTTTGTTTACTATTGCATTTCACTAAATAACACTAAAAGCATCTCGCAATACCCCAAGACCTGACTCCAAGGAAAATATGTTTTCAAGTCGACACATGCTATTGCATAACAATAGTGTGATCAAAATCTTTATGCAACAAAAGTTGGGTCATGGGGAAATTGACCAGGATTTGAATCTGCTGTACCCCCATGAGTCAATGCATCAACATCCCGAAACATGCCCTCTCATCTCTCGCATTCTCTCGAGGTCGGTCATTTCCCACTGACCTGCTCCACACGCAGCATATCAATGATCTGGTCAAACACAGGGGTTCTCAACAAATCCCGGTGGATCAGCAAGGTCTCCAGGGCATTGCAGGCTGCAGGATATTCACATTTTGAGTCTCTCACTGGATGAAAGACAGGCAATTGGTTACACACATAAGTGAATGTTAACAAAAAGCAGCAGAATATCTGAAAGAATTAGGCTGATGAGGGCATCCTCATCTCCGTCTACTCCATGACTCAGCCCCTTTAGAAAAAAAAGATTTTTGTCCCCTTACCTATTCTGGTGACCTTCTCAACACTGGCTTCCAGATCCACATACACATGACAAATCCCTTCACTGTGACCCATTACTGGGATTCCTTTAGCAGCTTTCTGGATATCTCGTACCAACTGAGATGAGCCACGGGGGATAATCAGATCGATCAGCTTGTCTAAACGACAAAGGTCTTCCACCTCTTCCCTGGTATTTACCTGTCAAAACCAAACCAGGCAAGTTACAGAAAGTTTGTTCTTAATAAGTAAGGTACATGAGAAATTACTTTCAGTATATCACTGGACACCATTTTAAAGCAGAAAGGGTCTGGGTGGTGTACTTTGCTCATCTCTGGTGTAAGATTTTAAGAACTGAAGTTCAACAACATCTGGAGGACATATATTCCCCTCGACTGAAGAAAGGTGAGGAATGAACTAGAAGAAGGCTTGCTTTGCTTTCAAGTTAATGTGAAGTAAGATTTAATCATGTCAAAACATTTTAAGCAAAACAAAACTTCCTCAAATGTAACAAGTAAGTCTTATTTGCCTCTTCTCAGGAAACATTTTTATGAAATCCTTTCTATCAGTTGTTCTGTCTCAGACCTAGATTACACACTGATCAAAGAAATAAACATGTATTTTTAGAAGAACGGAGCATGTGGATTCTCACCACCACTGGCAAGAATATATCTAGTTGTGACATCGTCAAGAGGTCACACTTCCCATGCTTTTAGTGTTTTCTGCCCCCACAAAGCTCTTTTCTAGAAACTCACCAGCTGCACAGCATCCTTCACACCATGGATAGAAAGCGCTTCCTGAGTCAAGTGATGAAGGAGTTGATTACTATATGATGCCTCTTTCCCTCCTTTAAGCAACAAACCATTTCCACTAGCAATAGCCAATGCAGATACCTATCAGGTGGGGGGGGGGAGAGATAAATGGGCAGGCAGACAGAGATTAGCATTAGGGATCACCTTTACAATGGTAGCAGAATTTTCAGTTAGAACTTTTGTCAATCTAATGACTTCCAGATATAACAACAACAACAACAACAACAACAATTGTAGTTTTTTCCGGGCTATATGGCCATGTTCTAGAGGCATTCTCTCCTGACATTTCGCCTGCATCTATGGCAAGCATTCTCAGAGGTAGTGAGGTCTGTTGGAACTAGGAAAATGGGTTTATATATCTGTGGAATGACCGGAGTGGGACAAAGAACTCTTGCCTGTTGGAGCTAGGTGTGAATGTTTCAACTGACCACCTTGATTAGCATTTGATGGCCTGGCAGTGCCTGGGGCAACCTTTTGTTGAGAAGTGATTAGATGTCCCTGATTGTTTCCCTTCTGTTGTTTTGCTGTTGTAATTTTAGAGTTTTTTAATACTGGTAGCCAGATTTTGTTCATGCTTGCCATAGATGCAGGTGAAACGTCAGGAGAGAATGCCTCTAGAACATGGCCATATAGCTCGAAAAAACCTACAACAACACAACAATAAATTTGCATTTGTTAACCATCTCTTCTCAAGGCTCGAGGTGGAGAACTACACAGTTAAAACACATTACCATAAAATACATACATTAAAACACACCATCACAAAATACATATATTAAAATGCATAGTGCAAGGATTAAAATAATAATAATTATTATTATTTATAGACCGCCTTGCCTCCCCAAAGGGACTCATAAATACAATACAAATACATATATTAACTTACAAAAATAATGTAAATTTAAAATTCACAAGTTAAAATTGACTGTTGAATGACCTGCAAGAAGAGATAGTCTTCAGTTCTGTCTTGAATGTTGACAGCTTATTTAGCTCTCAAATTCTTCTTTTGGCAGGTCATTCCACAGATATGTGGGATTACAACTTTCATCACCCTCAGTCAACATATTGAAAAATACGTAACAGCAGAAACTACTCAGATTACAAACTTGAAATCGCGTCTTTCTGAATGAGTCCCACTAGGCAAAACAAGACTCTTGCATAAAGTGCAATACTTTAGCACTAAGCCGAGGGTGCTTACAGAAAAAAATGTCATTACTAAAAGCTAAATATAATGGCAAATAGAAGACAATATATGAAATAAAGTACACAGCATCAAGCTTACTAGAAAACATCTACTGACTCATTCTATCCTAACTATATCTTGCAAAAGTGTCACCAACATATTTGAATATGTTTATTTCCTGCCCAAGAACAGCAAAGCAAGAAAGTCACAATGAGAGTGAAAATACAATATTTACTTGACATCTCTGTTTCACAAACCTGGGGAAGACAGTCGGGTCGAGATTCAAAAATTACTAGTAAAACCCCGATGGGTACAGTCACTTGCTCCAGCTCCAAATCCTTTGCGATTCGTGTCCTTCGGAGGACTCGGCCAACACTGTCCTGTGAAGATGCTGCAATCTGACGTAACCCAATGGCCAAACTATTCAGCTTGGAAGTTGACAAACTGAGTCTCTTCAACAGAGGCAGTGCCAGTCTTCCTGAAATCGAAGCAGATGTCAGGATACATGTTATCAAGTTGCCAATTGTAGCATCAAAGCTAACGAACAGGTCAATCCACAGCTCAAGTCATGGCTTCACAATATCAAAACAAGGTAAGAGAAAGAGAATTTTGCTTTTGTTTTGAGGAGGGAAGATTCATTATCGTATTTGGAAACACCTCTGGCTTAATCTGGATTGCGACAGACACAAATAACAACTTGATGTGATTAGCAATTAGATCAAAATTAAAAAATGAAGAGTGTTTGCTTGACATCGAAGCTTATGTCTGAGAACAATATAAGGTGACAACATTGAGAAACAAACATTGAAAAGAGAACCTCTCACATGTCACCCTTTTAACAGTCTACATTTTTGCTGCTCTAACCAACTGCATTCACAACTTTAGACAAAGAAAAATGTCCTGACATTGCAACTAGAGAAAAGAGTAGCACATCGTAGCAGAGAGTGTCATCCCAAAATAATGGGAGAGATCAGCGACTGCTGAATTAGCTTACTGCACTCATGCAGTAGTATAATGCACACTTGGGTTGTGTACCCATAGAGTTTATGGAAAGTGCCTTGTGCAGAGTTTATAGTTTCTGAGAGTTTGTGGAATGCACTTTCTATAGAGCTATACAAAGAGTCTGAACAACTCTGGGTTAGTTCTAGGACCTAGTTCTTTTGGATGGAATAGATTGCTTATGGGAAATTGCCCAACCAAAACAGCAAATCCCAATTTGGGTTTCTGACAGATGCAGCCACTGTATGTTTGTTTCCAGAATTTCTTCATACAGTCACTGAATTCTACTAAAACTAAATGTAAGAACCTGAGATAAGTTCTGCTTCACTTTGTGGCCTGATGAGAAATTGTTCTCACATCACATATAGTGATGCAGAGCTGTCTTTCAGCTTCCTTATTCAACCTGTCCTACCTTTGCTCTCAGCTTCTTCCAGATCCTTTCTGTTGGCCTGAAGAATCTCTTCTCTCTGGTCTGTCAGAAGGTCAGCAAGATGATAGATGATTTCTGCTCTCTAGAGGAAGGTGTACAAGAAATTATCAGATAGTGTGGTGAGTGTAACCAGCTCTCTCCCAAATATACCGATATCACAGGTATGGTAATCTCTCCAGGTGACTGCCAAACCTGTACATTCATTGCCAGGACTTTTGCCCTATCCTTAAGACTGTTAACCTAGTTTTCAACCATGGGGCTTAATGTTTATCTAACCAGTTTGATCAGCAACTCAATTTATTTCCCGATTTCCTGAGAACTTGCCCTAGAAAATTGCCCTGCCTTCGCTTTTCTATGTACATGAAGATGAACAGCTTAATCTTTGGAATTCAAGATCGGGATCTTGCTACTTGAACTATAGTTACTGCGATCTCACAAAATATTATTCAAATCAGCCCTATGCACTTCAAAATACCTGAACACTGCATCAGGAGCCTGAAAATGCCTATTTCAGTTCCACACAAGCAGAAAAACAAAGGTCTGAGCTGCTAGCACAGGAATGGGGAAACTTCAGCTCTCCAGGTGTTTTGGACTTCCACAATTCCTAACAGCCTGCCAGCTATTAGGAATTGTGGGAATTGAAGTCCAAAACACCTGGAGGACCAGAGTTTGCCCATGCCTGCACTAGTGGGTCAGCAGTCAAGCTCAGAAAGCCATATTCAGATCAAGGGATCATAAACTTTGCCAGCCATTTACCCCTTCCTTCAGCTCTGATTCTCAAACATACTAGAACCAGTGAATTAGCAGTTGAATGACATGCAGACATTGTAAACCCTACTGATTCAGTGGCTCAGTTGTTTTCGGGACAAGCAACTTGGCCTCAGTAATTGTTTTAAACAAACAAAATAGTGTTTCTTAATTATGCTTACATGTTAAAACACAATAAAAATAAAAGTATTAACAATAGGAAATAAAGATTAGATTTGGAAATTATTTTTGCAGATTTCCAGAGTACCTTCTTTTCCAGCTACACATGAGAAGCGTATTTCAGCCAGATTCCAATTCTAAATGATTTTATTGTTGTTTTTGTGCACACGCATATTAAAGCCTTCAAATGCTCTGCATTAGGTGACCAGTTGAATAGATACCTGTTCAGGCTGTAGTGCTGCCAAACTCCTTCCTCCTGCTCGAGCCATTTCAGCTTGCTGCTCCACTGTTGGACCTTTAAAAAGAATGAAGGGAGATTATAAGAAATGATTTAAAAATATCTACATTTGAAATACAAAGCACATGGCTGAACTATACTTGGCATATATGAAAGCTGTTATAGACAATGGAATTGAATTTGCATATCTGAAAGCTGTTGTAATATAGCTTACTCTTGAATGGAACTCAACTGAGTTTTATACATTTGGTGGGAACAATGTTTGAACTGGAGGAGATGCATTTGGCCTCACATTGCTTTGGCTTCATCCCACAGTTCTACCTGTTATAAATAACTTTTCAATAACTTTAAAGCATAGGTTCTTTTTATTGCAATTTTCCAAAAAAAGAAAGCATATCAGAACTTCTGCATTTTTACACAAAGAATGACATTGGACATACAGACCTATAGATTCTGTGTAACTACATTGAATTCACAAACATCCTACAGTTACATTGGCTAACAAACAAAGGGGGAATTACCTTTTCACTCAGCATTCACATTACCCACACACATTCACTCATCCTCATGCATACATCACCATTTCCTCACACTGTCTCCTGGAGAAGAACATCTCTTAGGCCAGACCCTGTTTTCCCTGCAGCCTGCCAACACACAGCTTCAAAGCTTCCGAAACTTCCAAGAATAATGCCAAGGATCAGATCTCTACAGCAGAAACTGACACCCTGCAAACGTAACATGACTCCAAAAATTGCACTCCTTTCTCCTTCCTTGAGAAAAGGAGGCAAGTGTCCAGAATCCTGCTTTCCATAGCAGATCTGACACTCTCCAAAGGTGCATCATCTCTCTCCTTCCCATGGAGCAAAGAATAGCGGGTGAACAGCACAGCTGTCTGTCACACTTGATAATTGTATGGTCTCTTATACAGAAATATATTTCTTGCTGATGTTCTTCCAAAGTTGTAAATGAATGATAGATGTTTTTCAGCCTGAAATAACCTGGCTTCATCTCTTCCTGGACAGATGCTGACTCTTCTTAATTGGTGTTGGTAAACATAAGGAGCCTTGTGTTGACTTCCTTCTTAACATAAGGAACCTTGTAAACATTTCCTTAACTTAAAGAGCCATTGCCTCTGATAATGTAAACACGTTGTTTTTCCTCAAAAGTTAATCAGTCAGAGTTCATCAGTCAACTTTAATTACAGTCCAGCAAGCAGCCAGTTAATGGTTTAGTCATTGCAGGCCTTAATCTTCAAAAAGGTGTCTCCAAAATCATTAGCTCTCGTTTATTCATTCCTTTCATTCATACCCACACATATTAAATCTACATTTATCAAATCTGAACATATATTTCTTCACATTTGTGGCCCTATCCTTAAATGAAATTTGTCACATAAAGATAAAGGCCTTTGGTTTAAAGCAGTGGTTCTCAATCTGTGGGTCCCCAGGTGTTTGGCCTACAACTCCCAGAAATTCCAGCCTGATAGGGTTTCTGGGAGTTGAAGGCCAAAACATCTGGGGACCCACAGGTCGAGAACCACTGGTCGAAAGCCTCACAAAGATTTTGTTTCCTGTCTAGGCACTCTTGATCCTTCCCTACAAACTACAGCCGTGATATTTTCAACTTACCTGCAGGTTTCACCTCTGAAAAAAAGGTGCCGACTTTTTTCCCTTCTACAATGTCAGTAATGACATGGCCAGAGATCTTAGGGTGAGTTCCATTTGCAATCACTACCGAGGTACCTCCTTGGAGAGCCCACAAGGCTGCTTTCACCTACAAGGGAGAATGTTTTAATGTACTTTTAAAAAAACTAATAATGTACTTTAATATAATCCAAGTGCAAAACTGCAGGTCCAAAGTTACAGTCTCTCGTAGGCAGAGAATGGACGTGGCTCGTTCCTTGTTCATGTGACTACTGCTGTTTTCAGGGAGTGAGAATGAAACTGCCAGCCATCTCACATACTTGTTAAGTCCCATCCTCTTTCTCTCAGTAAACAATCAAAAACAAGACAGAATGACCCAACCAACCTTGGCCTCCATGCCACCCATCCCCACTCGTGATTTGTTTCCAAATGTCACGGACTGCTGGTCTCCGGGGTAAAATATGTCAATGAGCTTTGCATCATCTGATCCTGGGGGACTGTCAAAGAGACCTGGAATGAAATGATGACAATGAGTGAGCAGCAGTTCATAGAATCATAGAGTTGGAAGAGACTTCATGGGCCATCCAGTCCAACCCCCTGCCAAGAAGCAGGAATATTGCATTCAAAGCACTTGAGCTCTACTTGTCAGGAGTGAAGCCACTGGAACATCTTCATGATCAGAATTGTATTGTTAGGACTTAACCTACAGTCCATTCCACAAAATTTTGCACAAAGGCATAGCAAGAACCAAAATTAAGAGTGTGAGGTCTCTAATGCTCTTCTTTCTTTTTGTGGTTATCTGACTTGGGGAAATACAACTATTTCAAAGGTTAGCCCTTCCTCTTCAACCCTAGCAAGTAAGGTACACCCTACACCTTAGTTTCTAACTAATACAAAAAAAAAATAGGCATTGCTAGACCTTTTCAGGGGTGATATGTGAACTCTGGCTTAGGACCATAAGCATCACAGACAATTCCCTGGAGCATAACTCTGGGTGGACTGCACGGCTGCACTTTCAGTTTAGCTGGATAATGAAACAAGTCTTGTACCCTCGACATCTGAAAGAATGATCAGCAGGTCCGTCTTCATTTCCACGGCTAGCCGTGCTGCTAAGCTATCGTTGTCCTTCACGCTGATTACCTGAAACACATATGGAAATCAGTAAATACTAGCCAGGTAAGAGTTTCAGTATACCCAAACCAGTTTCTAGAATACCAAGATGTAACTGAGGCATTCTGCACTTTTAGCATTTGCGTAACTAAGCTTTGCAAGCAACACCAAATACCATTTCTAATGCACTGTATCTACAAGCCGAAAGACAAGCAGGTCAAGCCCACTGGACTCCAAGCCCCACCATGCCCTACCAGTCACCTTGAAGGATCCAGAGTACCACAAAGTTAGTGCACACCGCAATCCAGAGACAACGTGTTAGCAGATCCACGAGCAAACCAGCAAGCACCAACCACCCACTGTAAAGCTCTACCCACGTTTACCCCCTGTAGATCACTGTTTGGTTCTGGGGGAGGAACCACAGCATCATTGGTGTTGATGATGGGAACAATGTTCATCCGCAATAGTTCATGTAACGTCCCATTTAAGTTTCGACGCTTCTGTTCATCATGAAAATCCAAATTGGTGACCAGTATCTGGAAAGAAGAAAAAAACTGTCCTGACGAAAATTATCCAGTATCAGTTTCAGCATGAGTCAGACCAACAAGTATACAGTAAAAACCTGAGATAGAGTATAGATTTTCCCCAATTCTCACACCCAGTGACGTCAGAATGGCCCTCTCCCTGCTATCCTTCTGGTGGAAGGTGACAACTTTTTGTTCAAGCAGGCTTTTAAAAAAGGTTTTTAAGATCAAGTCAGGAGGTCTGAGGTTTTTAATCAGTTTTAAGGGTTTATTTTTAATAATGTTAATATTTAATTCTATTTTAATTTTGTATATATTTTGGTGTTAAAACTGTACTGCATTTATTTTTCTGTAAGCTGTTTTGAATCTCAAATAAGAGCAATATAATGAAGATGGGAAACCCACATTAACCAGAAGTGAAATCTGAAAGGTCATTACAGGCTTACAATAAAAGTGCACAGAAGCAGGGCAAAGCAAAAGGGAGATGAAGATCATGCTGACAAGTGCAGGACTAAGAGAATGTCATAGGATTAACAGGGGCTCCTGATGCATATTATTATTTGTTCATTTGATTTTTTTATTCACCTCTACCCTTCAAGTGGGGTGAAGGAGGCTCACAAGAAAACTAAAACTAACTAAAGGGTACAGATAAAAGTAATATCAAAACACAACTAAAGAAACTACATTGTTTAAATATAAAGTTAATTCCTTAGCAAGCAGCCAATTGCTGGAAAGAGGCAGTTGGTGAAAGGCCAACAAGGTCAGGTTCTCCTAGAAGAGAATGACACAATCTGGGAATTGCTATTGAGAAAGTTCTCTTGTGTATCTGCACCAAATATGCTTCTGAGAATGGCAGAACAAAGATTACACAGCTGGTTTTACATCTTCCCTGGAAAACCTTCAAGTCTTACAGGTTAATATGAGAGAATTCAAAAAGAAAATGAATTGGTCGTTTTCACATCTCAGGAGCTGAGAGGTCAGTACAAGGAAGTTAAGATAATATATAGCCACTCTCAAGCACATACAAAGTCCCTTACCTGGGCAGCACATATGCTGTACTGTGTGAACATGGCTTCGTATAATGCCATCAGCCCACTCTGGCCAGCTGCAGCACAAGCTCGAGCTTCTAGCACAGGGATGGCCTGCATGGGTCAGATAATTTGTCAGTCACTTTTAGAGTGAGGTGTACCACTGTAAAAGAATGCCAGCACCTCACTCAGCTACTCACCATGTCCTTAAGCTGGTTCTGTCCTGTGTGGAGAGCCTGCCTCACACTCTGCGAGAGCAAGATCTCATGACGGAGGCGCTGTTTGCCAAAGGCTACAGCCCCACTGGTAACAATAATCATTTCCCGGCCCTGGTTTTGTAGCATTGATACCTACAGGCATAAAAGAAACGCCTCAATGTAGCTTTTAAAACCACCCCAAACTGCTCCAGTTTTTGAGCCTTTCCCCTTTTATCCTCTTCTCCAAATTGGAGATTTGCCACTTCTGCTAGGTACTGTAATCAAATAAAGAAATACCACCTTGGTGGACATCTCAAAAATCTTGCCTTTGAATCTGTACATCAACCAAACACCTACTCCTCTGCATTTCCTTTAGGTAGCCTAATAATCTTCCAATCACTAAGATATTTCTTTTACGGTTTAGTTAACAGAGGGAAAAAGCCAACTGCTAGCCTTTACCTGCTCAACGATGGATGCCAGGCGCCCCAAGGCAAGGCCACATTCATCTCCCCGAGTTACGACAGCACTCCCTAGTTTCACTGCAATTCGCTTGGCATGCTTCAGTTCACTGCGGTGCGCAAATGACTTGCCATGGGCTCGGCTGAGAGGCACTGTGATAAAAGGTATGTTACTCCAACCTCGGGTGCATGTATTCCTCAAGACCAGGTTGGGAGCCAGAAGACCTGTGTTTGAAACATGGCAAAGGCATCAGCGAAGTGGACTTAACCAAAAAATCCCTCTTCCCCTTCTCAGGTTCCAGATTGACTCTCTAGGGGTGAGAAGGGAGAATCTGAACATTTTCCTGCAAAGCAAGTACCTAACTTGGAAATAAGCGAGAAAATATTAACATAATTGCAAAGGGGATAGGAGAGACATTGAGAAAAAGCATAAGACATATTAAAATTCAGTTATCTAAGGATGTGGGTCATCCTGTCCCTAGTCGTATCTATGTAAATTATAGGGTCCTAATCTGCTTCTGGCAATGTTTAAAAGCAAACAGTTTTTACTGCTCAGCGTGATCTTTCTAAAGCTTGTATCTGGTGTGCTTTCTTTTTATCAGCTGTTTTGCCTTGACTTTTTTAAAACCTTCCAAAAAAACATACTACATATTTTATTACTGACATTTCAAAATATTTTACTAGCTCCCTTTGGGATTTTTTATTTTAAACAGGGGTGGGGGATTTTTTAAATAACATAACATAAACAAACTCTTCATGCTCCCAGATGCTTTAAATGGCAACAAACAATACAGCTCAGTCTTTTTCAACTTAACACCATCCAGGTTATGTTGGACCAGAACTGGCACAATGTATACCATGCTATACAACATATTCTATTGCCTTGGAAATTACATGAGTTGCAGTCTGACATATCTAAATGCTGGAATGTTAGACTATATTATGAAGATTATGTTTGGTTTAAAGAAGAGAAAATTCAGAACTGACATGATAGGCATCTTTAAAGATCTGAAGAGACATCATATAAAAGATTGTTTTATACTGTTCTAGCGACCAGGACATGAACCAATGAATTCAAAAGAGATTCCATAAAGCTTGAGGAGGAACTTCCTGATGGTAACAGCTGTTTGGCAAGGTACTGGACTACCTTAGGGGATAGCTGGCTTTCTGCTTATTGGAAGTCTTTAAATAGAGGTTGGAGAGCCCTCTCTCAGAACTGCCTGAGTTGTGTGGTCTACAAATGCATAGTAGAGGGCTCAACTAGATGGCCCACACAGTCCCTTCCAAATATATGGTTCTATTATATGCAACTTCATCACAGCAATGTAGTTTTCTTTCACTCCAAGAACAAGCAAAACCTAGGGGTTGCAAAGGTAATATGTAGGATTTCTATATTCTAGACCAGTGGTTTCCAACCTATGGTCCTCCAGTTGTTTTGGACTTAAATTCTCCAAAATCCCAGCCATTTTACCAGATGTTGGGTATTGTGGGAGCTGAAGTCCAAAACACCTGGAGACCAAAGGTTCTAGATCAACTATTCAGCAAGACAATAAGGAGTAAAGTAGGCACAGACATAATGTTATCATTTTGTCAGTCTGTAATACCTTAAAGACATGAGATCCCTTCTGAAATGGAAAGCCAAAGAGAATCAGCTCCAGTTAATACTTCGATTGGGGGGGGGGGGGATTGTCAACAAACATCACTTGGTGAGGGCTATTCTACAGAGGAGGTAACTGACAAAACTGTCTCTGAGAATTCTCTGCCCAAGAAAATTCAATTAATTTCATGGGGTCACCAAAATTGACAGGTGACTTGAAGGCACATTCTCACACATACATAGTTCAAGCTCACCATTTGCTTTATGCTCTGCATTACTACAGCAGGCTGTGTATATGCCTTCAGGCTGCTCATTACTTTCATAGGATTTCCTTAGGCAAGGAATACTCAGAGATGGTTTTGTCAGGTCCTTCCTCTAAAATGTAGCCTACACCACCTTGTATTCATGGGTAGTTTCCCATCAAAATACTAACCAGAGCTGCTCCTACTTAAGTGCCAAGATCAGACAGCATCTGCTATCTTTAGAATATTTTATGGTACTTCCAAGTGCACACTCACTGTATTAATTAAGCTTATATTAAGAGCTGACTTATGAAGTTGTCATTGATTTAGTAGGTCTACTCTAATAAAACTAACCACTGAATTTAGACTGAAATATCCAACCTGGAATCATGACCAAACTATAATTAAGAAAATGATTAGAGCTACATTTAGTCAGACCAAAGGCTCACAAGTTCAGCATTCTGTTTCCACAGTTTCCTATGAAAAGCCCACCTGCAAGACTACAAGACTGATAAGAACCACACTGCCTTTGGTATTGAAGGGAAATACAAATATTCATCATGACTCCATGAGAATGTCCATTCCCCTTTTAAAGCTGCTCAAGTCAGAAGTCAACAATATACCATGAGGCACTGAATTTTATAGTCTAACTATATACGAAGTGTACCTTGTTGTAGGCCCTCAATTCCCCATTATTCAGTTTCAATGGATAGACCAATATTAGGATTCAGAATTCAGTATTAGGATTCAGTATTATGAAAAACGGAAAAAGCTATCTGCCTATCAAGTATTTTACACTACACATAATTGTATGCACCTTTGAACGAAAAAATTGCCAAGCATTTTTGATTTTTCAGTATCAACAAAAGGACAAACTCATTCCCTCACATACTTACAGGGGTGGGAGCCAGCTACATCAGATTGCTGCCAGAATCGTCCTGAGGAACGTAGAGAAGGAAGAAGAGCAGTACGGTACAGCATTGTGAATGGCTTGATATTTTCAATATCTGAAAAAAGGGGAAGAAGAAGAAGAAGCTTATATAAGATTCCAAAAAACACTGTGCCCTAACAGTCTTCCTACTCCAAAACACACAATGCAAAAATGCAGGAGAGCTAAGGGACCTTTGACTTTCCTGATGTTTTGGAATTCTAATAATCTAATAATCCCTTACCACTTGGTTTCTGGGCGCTGAAGTTAAAAATATTCAAAGATTCGTATGTTTTCTACCCCTACTGTAAAATAAATTGGGAAAACTTGATACATGGTTTACTCTCTGATCTCTATGCAATCCAGTGGAAGGGACTATGGCTTCTTCAGATTTTCATTAGATAAATAATGGTTGCTACTATTAATATTGGGAGAAGAAAAGTAGAAGAAAGGTGTGACCATAAAGTTCTCATGGCATCCCCTCATTTTAGCAATACTGAAGTCAAGATTTCAATAACCCTCTAAAACCAAGCATCACAGACACAATCTTGAAAAATGTTTATATTGAAGCATTTGTATAGTACATGGATCATGACAGCAACATATGCAGATTCAAGGATGTTAAGACTCCTCATTCCTGTCTTCAGATTCACACAACTCGGTTCCTGGTGTGAATCCAGAACAGTCCAATACACACACCTTAGCAGTGGGCCCTGAAACAGCTCTTAAAAAACCTCCCTTTCTTGTCTGCCTGTGTCTGTCTCTCTGTGCCTGCCTTCAAGTTGTCTGTAAACTTATGGTGATATTATGAGTTTCGTAAGGCTTTGTTAGGCAAGGAATACTCACTACTCCCAAGATAGCAGTCCCCAATGCCTAGTACCTGTACCTGATTTTCATGAAGCAAAAAGTGCAGAAGGGAGGAAATTTTCAATCGAACCAACTGCCAAAGTGTTCAGGGGAAAGGGAGGTAATTCCCCAAATCCTAATCAAAGCAAAGTATGATGTGACTTGGCAACCACAGGCCCCAGAGCTGAACTCCCGTCAGGACAAGCCACATCAGCTTCCACAGGAAGGCAGAACAGCTGCCAGAAGCTGATGCAACCCAGCTCCCTGTGGCAGAGGGATCACCTCCTCTCATTTCACAGTGAAGCAGCTGTGGTAAAAGCTCCACGTTGCAGCACAAAATCCAATCCAGAGGCTGTAATGTCAACAAATATTGCAGAGCAGCAAGCTCCAGTGCAGACCAGATATGTCAGAAAACAAGCAGGCCCTATCAGTTTATCAGCACAGGCAGGAAGTCCAAGAATACAACTGCATTTCTGTTGATCATTTGTTTTGCTGCTATTTTTACTGGTTTTATTGAACACGTGGTATTTTGTTGGTTTATTATATTATATGATTTTAATGTTGCTGATAATTGTATTTTATATATGTGTTTGTATAAGATTTTTATGATGTCAGTTTTTAGCTGTATCCGTTTTAAATTTTATAAGCCCCTTTGCATCCTGTACAGATGAAAATACAAGAAAACAGAAATGATAACAACAACATTAACAACTTCATGAAGGATAGGAAATAAACAGACTAGAATAAAACCTGTACATGTGCAAGTCTTCTTGGGCATGCCATTAATTTTGATGCAATACAAGAGGGAAAAGGTTACTCCCTCTTTTAATCAAAATTGTATGAAGTTCAATTCCCCTCCCACTTTTGCTGCTTTTGGCGTCACTGTTTTTCAAAATGATCTTTTAAACACTTCTGATATTTATTGATTAATGTGATTATTTTAATGGCTTTATTATTTAGTTTGTTTTAGCAATCTTTGGCAGTCATTTGGAGCACTATCTTTATAGTGGAAAGTTGGCATGAAATGTAGTAAACAAATAATAAACCTAGTAATATCAAGAAAAATTCCAACAACCATATTTTGCACTGACTGAGGCTCCTGAGGTCTTCTGAGGACAGCTCTACATACAAAACACTGGATTAATCAAAACCGAGATCCAGCATGGTGTGGATTTTGGACTAGAACTCTGAAGATCAGAGTTTAATTTCCTGTTCAGTCATGGCGACCCACTAGGTGACACCTTAGGTAAGGCACACACTCTCAACCTCAAAGAAAAGCAATGGCAAATCACCTTTAAATAATATCTTACTGAGAAAGTCAGGAACAACCTGAAGGTATGCAACAACAGTTAATTACAGTTGGCCCTCCATATCAACATCCAGAAATTTTACCATGCATGTATTGTAAATATTTTTTCAAATCCCCAAAATCAAACTTTAGTTTTTCCATCTCACATATAAGGGACATCATTTTATCATGTCACTATTTATAATGGGATCTGGCTATCCATGGATTTTGGTATCCACAGGGAACCCTGGAACTGAATTCCAGTGGTTCCACAATTCAATATCAGAGAAAGGATCACCATAGTCACCCTGCTCATAGCGTTTTCTAATTGTGAAAGTATCTGAAACCAACTTTTAAAAAATGACTCCAAGACATCGCAGCCACCTGTCGCCGATTGTGATCTATGAACACTCCCAAACTGTGCATCAACTCTATCTTAAACTCCAAGTAATGACCCTAAAAAATCAACAGTCTCCAAAACCTCATTATTTCTCTCATGCCACAATAATATCGCATTTGAATATGATGCCTGCACTTGATCCATGCATCTGCTTGCATCTGAAATACCAAGAAGCACTAAAAATTTGGCTCACGTTACGTATAAGAAATTATACTTATCACCGCAGTGAAAGCACATGACCAAAGTACAACTCAAAGAATCTGGCTAGCGATAGAAGGAGCTGTGATTATGCTATCTCTGCATTTTTTAAAAGGAGGCCAAATTTGATCCACAAAACAATCTGGTCCGTGTTATAGTTTGGTTGGTTGAAACTTACAGACATGATTTGATGTATAGACAGTAGGAGCCAGCCAAAAATAGAATGGAAAAAAGCAGAGTCAAAATTGCAGGCCAGCACCAATAAAAGACACTTCAACCAAGGATGTTCACAGAACAGGACAATGTATACTGTATTTTGCTGTCAATTCCAGAATATATTTGGTTTGCTCCCAGAATTACAGGGATGTTCATATACTCATAACAATCAGGCCACTATGCATACACTCTTTCTCAAATAATCAGGATAATGAAGGCAAGTGGCAAAACTATTTCAATTGATAAAATCAAGCAACTATAAACCAATTCCTTCTGGACATAAGGACTTCCAAATTAAGATGCTAACAAGTAAGGCCTTTAACAAAATGTATCACTTACTTACTTACTTACTTACTTACTTAGGCGATCCCTCGTTGGACGAGTAAGATGGTCTTCCATTATGGATTTCCTTTTGGGTCCGTAGTGGCTGTGGAGCCCTATTCTTGATCTGCATCTTCTCCCACAGTGAGCGCATTGGTTTCCAGGTGGAAGGCAGTCTCGGTCGGGGTTGGCTTGACACTCCTTCCTCCTGGCACGTTTCTCTCTTTCACCCTCCATTCGTGCCTCTTCAAATTCTGCAGCACTGCTGGTCACAGCTGACCTCCAGCTGGAGCGCTCAAGGGCCAGGGCTTCCCAGTTCTCAGTGTCTATGCCAGAGTTTTTAAGGTTGGTTTTGAGCCCATCTTTAAATCTCTTTTCCTGCCCACCAACGTTCCGTTTTCCGTTCTTAAGTTCAGAGTAGAGCAACTGCTTTGGGAGACGGTGGTCAGGCATCCGGACAACGTGGCCGGCCCAGCGGAGTTGATGTTGGAGGACCATCGCTTCAATGCTGGTGGTCTTTGCTTCTTCCAGCACACTGACGTTTGTCCGCTTGTCTTCCCAGGAGATTTGCAGGATTTTCCGGAGGCAGCGCTGATGGAAACGTTCCAGGAGCTGCATGTGACGTCTGTAGACAGTCCACGTCTCACAGGCATATAGCAGGGTTGGGAGGACAATAGCTTTATAAACAAGCACCTTGGTATCCCTACGGATGTCCCGGTCCTCAAACACTCTCTGCTTCATTCGGAAAATGCTGCACTTGCAGAGCTCAGGCGGTGTTGTATTTCGGCGTCGATGTTGACTTTGGTGGGAGGTGGCTGCCAAGGTACCTCTTTGATCGTCGCTGGGGAACAGCGAGTGCCCGGTCGGTAAAGGATAGGCAACTTGGACTGGAAAGCTTGCTTTCGAGTTGATTTGGAGATTTGTACTTTTCCTCCAGCAGTAAGACATTTTGATAGCACTCTAATAGTTGGATTATATTTCCTGCCATGATTTTATTAATGGACACTTTTCTAATGTTACACCATTAAGCTGTATTTCTGGCATTGAGAGGGATTGGCTGGCGACTGCTTGAAGAGCACTTCGGTTTTCTCAATGTTCAATGACAGGCCAAGCTTCTTGTATGCTTCTGCGAAGGAGTTTAGAGTGGCTTGCAGGTCTTCTTCTGAATGCGCACAGACAACGTTGTCATCAGCATACTGGCGTTCTATAACAGATGTTATTGTAACCTTGGTTTTGGCTTTCAGTCTGCTGAGGTTGAATAGCTTGCCATCTGTCCGATAGATTATTTCCACTCCGGTGGGAAGCTTCCCATCAACAAGGTGAAGTATCATAGCGATGAAAATGGAGAATAGAGTTGGGGCAATAACACATCCCTGTTTGACACCTGATTCCACCTTAAATGGGTCACTTTGGGAGCCACTGCTGTCCAAGACTGTTGCCATCATGTCATCATGGAGGAGCCGCAGGATGTTCACAAATTTGTTAGGGCACCCGATTTTGTGGAGGATGGTCCAGAGAGCGCTGCGATTCACTGTGTCGAATGCCTTTGCAAGGTCGATGAATGCCATGTACGGAGTTGATTTTGTTCTCTGCATTTTTCTTGGAGCTGTCTTGCAGTGAAGATCATGTCCACGGTTCCTCTGGAGGGGCGGAAGCCATTCTGGGATTCTGGGAGGGTGTCTTCTGAGAGGGGCAGAAGGCGGTTTGCAAGGATTCTTGCGAGGATTTTCCCAGCGGAGGTTAGAAGGGAGATACCTCGATAGTTTCCGCAGTCTGTTCTTTCCCCTTTTTTGAAGAGGGTGATGATGGTGGCATCCTTGAAGTTTGCTGGGATTTTCTCGGTCACCCACACTTTTTCTATGAGCTGGTGGAGTTGGTGTGTCAGCTCAGGTCCTCCCTCTTTAAAGATTTCAGCAGGGATCCCATCTGGTCCACTGGCTTTGTTATTCTTCTGTTGGCTGATGGCATTGCTGACTTCTTCCAAACTAGGCAGTGCTGCAAGCTTGTCCCTGGTTTGTTGTTGCGGGATTTGTGAGAGGACCTCTTCGGCCACATTGGCGCTGCAGTTCAGGAGGCTTTGGTAGTGTTCTTTCCAACGTAGTGCAATTGATTTTTGGTCCTTCAGGAGTTTGGTTCCATCTGATTAGCGTAGAGGCTGTATCCCATGGTTTCTTGGTCCATAGATGACCAAAATGTATCACTACAGCATTGTCGAAGGCTTTTTCATGGCCGTAATGACTGGGTTGCTGTGAGTTTTTTGGGCTGTATGGCCATGTTCCAGGAGCTAGGAAATGACCATACAATCCGGAAAACTCACTGCAACCCACTGTATCAATACTTTTCAATAAAAGTACTCCAGCAAGCCATGCCCTTCTCCAAGATACCCTTGTTCCATTCCCCATCCCACATTCTATCCCAATGGACATTTAACATTCATTTTTCATGGGCGTGAGTAGATAAATTTATTTAAAAATTCTGCAGCTTTGCCCCTGAACATGAGGACATCTTCCTCTTGGCTGTCATCGTCTCTATTTTGGTTCCATTTCTTTGAACATTAAGTTAGCTGAATTTGCTATTATAAACAATGCACAGTTAGAAAGAACTGTCAGAATGCAGCCCACTAACAGCCCACTAACATTTTCATCAATCTTCTTCCCCAGTTAGGAGGAACTTCCTGACTGTGAGAGCTGTTCAGCAGTGGAACTCTATGCCCCAGAGTGTGGTGGAGGCTCCTTTTTTGGAGGCTTTTAAACAGAGGCTGGATAGCCATCTGTCAGGGGTGCTTTGAATGCGATTTTCCTGCTTCTTGGCAGGGAGTTGGACCTAATGGTCCACAAGGTCTCGTCCAACTCTATGATTCTATCAAGTTTTGAGAGACTCTGTAATAATGAAGGATACAGACAGATAGGCCAATTTATAGAATTAGTCTACGGTCCATTTCAAACAAGTGAAGCCATGGACACCAGGCTTAAATATTTTTTACACTTCATTCTATAATCCACTGAAGGTCCAGCTCAGTCTTACTGAAATCTTATTTTATTTTTAAACTGTATACTAGTCACGTTAAGAACAGTCACAATAATGAGTTTTAAAAAGCTCTTTTTTGGGTCTCCACCTGATGTGTGCATTTTCCCCTGCAACTACAAGAACTGGCAAAATCACTTCTTAAAATATCAGCTGTTCAGCTATTTCCTCTTCCTGTGCCATAACAAGTATGAAAACAAATATCACTTCACATGAATAATGAAGAAACTATAGAGAAACCCTGAACTTCCTCTTCTTCTGCAACACTGCCATATTTAAATACTGCATCTGTATCTGCATTTGTGTCTATATTATGTTAGGCAGAGAAATGCACATGATCCACATGTGCAGTTACCCAAAACCTAAATACCAGCTGAAAATATGTAACCGTTGCTAGAACAAAACATTCTGAATTATCATTATTAATAATATTAGTAGTAGTGGTGGTGGTAATAATAGTATTTCACATAACCTTGGTTACAGTGGGGCTTACTGATGAAATAAGTAGTAAGGAAGAGGATGCTTGAAAACATTAAGAGAAATGGAAAAGTTGCTCTATACTGAGCCACTGTGCAGCAGGAAATTAAGAAAAAGAATTCTAAGTTGCAGAACTGGGTTACGGAAAGGGGTGAAGAGGAAAAAGTAAAAAATGCCAACTCCATAGCAAAAACACTGGAAGATTGCCCAGGAAAGCACATAACCTCTATGTGGGACTGAGTAAAAAGGAGGAGGGTGCCTCCAGGTGAGATGTTTATGGTACAATCACATTCATTTGTGGAATTTTACAGAGGGACTATTTGCAATCCTTCTGTTTTTTCCAATGTAGTCTTCACTCTTCCCCTAACCTTTTGAAAAAAATTTAAGAAGGAAAAATAGGAGTAACTGCACAGTGCCTTTGGACTATGCCAAACCAGAAGCTCCTCCATTAGTTTTAGCACATGGTTCCACTTTAATTTCCATGTCTGCATCCTTTGGAATCCTGGGATGTGTAGTTTAATGAGGCACTAGAACTCTCTGGCTAAAAAATTCTAAATGGCCCTAAACTGCAAACTCCAGATTCCCATAGGAAACAGCTATGGTGATCGAAGTGGAATCACTGTTATTACTGTTGGAAAGGGCTCTGTACATTTGCATTTACATTTGTCTAAGGCAGTGGTTCTCAAAACTGTGCTCCGCTGAGCCCTTAGGACTCCACGAAGCACAGTCAGGGGCTCCGCACCACGTCCCACTGCTACCCCTGCCTAGGAAGCATGTGGTCTGTGCAGCTCCACTGGCATGGCCTGCAGGGCCTTCCCGCTACCACCATTGCCTGAAATGCAGAAACAGGTTGGACTGGGTGGCCCCTGGAGCTGCTCCTATTATCATTATCATTATTATTATTACTATTATTATTTCAATGGCTAGATGGGCATCTATTGGGGGTGTTTTGATTTCTTTTTTTACTGAATGGCAGAAACAGGTAGAACTGCGTGGCCTCTGGGGTTGCTATTATTGTTGTTGTTGCAAAGGCCAGATGGCCCCTGGGATCTGTTACATTTATGTTGGTTAAAATTGTTCTTCATTTTAAATATTGTATTCTTCTTTTTTTCTTTTGTACTACAAATGAAATACTTGCAATGTGCATAGGAAATTGTTCACTATTTTTTTCAGTTAGTTCAAATGAACACTCTCCATCCATCTGCCACTGGCCCAGCCCATCTGTCAAATTTTAAAATGTAATGCAGCTCCTGTGTCCAAAAGTTTCTTGGGGTTCCACAAGAAACTTTTCCCTCAAAAAGGGCTCTGCTGCTTTAAAAGTTTTAGAGCCCCTGGTCTAGGGGAAGTGTATGCATTAAGTTATAATAAAAAAGGTGACTTTGAGAGAAGCTGTCTTGGAAATGCACACACCAACTCAAGACTCCCACCTCTCTGAACATGGTAAGGTAAGTATTCCACTGAAAGGTGATTAGCTTTAACTCCTCACTCCATTTGGAAAAGTTTATTTTGGGTTACTTTGCAAAGGAAGGATCAATATAGTCAGTGGACCCATGCCAGTTTGGAAATTCTAGACATTGCAGCCCAAACACATACTCTTTTGAAATCCTGAATCAGATTTCTGAGAGCTGTCATCTTTAAAAAATATTGTCAGCATAAGAATGTTCACCTCTTTACGTTCAAGACCAAGACAAAGGCTACCATAAACAGTTGCAAACTAACAACGACAAGTGAAAATATGGAAGCTTGCTGTCAATTGCCAGCAATATTGTCACTATCTATGTTATTATACTTTATAAGGATCTTATCTTAAACCTTCATATCTTGTTTCAACTGGAATTGCTGATAATTTATATACTCAGTTTAACATAGTGCCCTCAAAGTTGTGGCAATTGTCTATCCTACTGTGGAATATGTGACCTTTACCGAGCTGGGGAACCAGTATTGCTCACTAATGTGAGATGTTCTGGTATTCTGCACATTTACAGAGTCGTGTTGTGTCATTCAAATCTTCACACAAAGCTAGGCAACTTCTGTAAATTCATTTAATCCTGTATTCACATGGAGACTGGCATCACTCAGAAACAGGATTCTGGGCTTGAGTTTCTGCCAAAGCAAACCAAAAAACCCATGTTTTAATGCTATAATTTCTCTGTTGTTTAATTGGCAAGCCCAGCTTAATAAAAAAACGAGTCAAAGCACATGTCTGCATTACTGTGAACCACAACAAAGGCATAAGAAAAGAGTCTCTTCTGCCACATCCTCAGAAGGAACACTATGAATCAGATATTTAAACCTTTTTCCATATTGTCCCAGGTGATAGGATAAATAAATGAAAATTGGTTTTGACACTGGAAGATGAAAGATGGCAGCCATGAATAGATATTACTAGGGCAGCAAAAAGAGATTCCTTTAATGGCACAGCGTTTGCTCACAATAAGATTTGTTCAACTTAATATAAATGAATGTAATGGCTTGTGTTGCCCTCTTCCCAGCTGTGTGTTTATTCAACCACAAGCATTTTTGCACCAGTCTTCTTAAGGCAGCCAGATTTCACAAAGATGGAGTCTATAATTCCTTGGCCCTCTATGTACCATTATGGCAAATCGTGGCAAATTGGTAGTCTTTTGCCCAATCTTTTGTTACAGTGATTCAGATAACAACCCAATGAAGAGTAGACAGAACAGAACAAGTCACAACATCCCGCCTTCAAAGTTCTAATCTAGACTTTTACAACTGCTCTCTCATTCTCCACTCCAAAATACATTGCGGAAGGGGAAATATCCCACTTTCAGTAACCAAACTAATAACATATAAAAAGTAAGTGTACTTGGCTAAAAATAATTTATTCCAAGCATAGGTTCGACTCAAAAACCTAGTACAAAATAAGCTTGCCTGTACATTACTTACATTCATTTTCACATTACATTGTGTGAGGATAAGCTATGACCTATAGGTCCACTGCCTAAATTGAATGTTTAATAAATATAAAAGAAAAATACAATAATTTCCCATCATTAAAAGACTTACCTGTATGGTCCCATTAATATGTTTTAGGTTCCTGTCTCAAAAGCTTTCTTTGGGAAAATGCTATGTTTGAGGGTAACAAGTTATATAGCAAATCCAGCTTGTCTAGTCTGGTCTGGTAATTTACAATGGCCCAATCGCAACATTTCAGAGGAAAACTACTGCTGATCCCACCCTGTTAATTATATGGAGATCCAATCAGGAGGCACGAAACCCAAGGGAAAATTCCGGTTCAAAAGCTAGCATTAACAAAGGCATCAAAACAAGATCTAATCTCTGTCTTTGGAAAAACTTGGTTGCGTTTAGATGCTAGAAGACCTTGTTTAAAAACAGTATTTCTATGCTACAGGGCAACAGTTGCAACCTAGTGAACAATGCTTGGAAAAATTACTGTTTGAGGATTACAACATCCAGAATCCTCCAATCACTGGTCATGTTGGTTGGGTGATTCTGCAAGCTGTCATCAGAACTTGTAAATTTTCCAACCTCAGCTACAGAATTCTCTTTGTCCTTTAGTTTCTCATACTCCACAGGTTAATAAATATTACAAATCACTACAAGCAAGAAAAGCTGGTAAATGCAGAGAGGTCATATTCACTTTCTCAAAATATCTCACCTACATATTTTTATTGATTTTTAAACATTGATTCTATGTATTCTGTGGAAGAATAAAATGTGGCACGAGACATCTGTGAATATTTGAATTAATTTTCCTGGTAAAATACCCAAACATCACTAGCCTCATTTAATATTAAAATCCTTCTTATCATCCCTAATTTTTAGGCTGAAAACTTTGGAACATCCCAAACAGGCATAATCTTAGATATCTGCCAACTGGGGAAAACACATGAAGCACTAGGTAAATTGGGCTCTGGTTCACTAAGCTTAATGCTACAATACCTCTGACCACAACCATATAATTCTTATTTTTGTTGCAACAAATAAACTCAGCAATGCCTACTCTTAGGAATAATCTTGGCAGGCATGTCTACACATTTTATACAATTTCTGCTCAGCCTTCACTCTTGTATCCCATCATAAAACGAACCTAGTTGAATACAAGATCTCAGAAAATAACTGAAGAGTGTTTACAACAAGTACAGTATTTAAATACCTGTGCTTTTAACCTGGCCCATACAAATCCATTTATAAAATTACAGGTAGTTAGTTAATTTTGCAAGTAAAACTTTATGCTGACCATAGCTAAGCAGCAAAAGTTTCCACCTCAAACTCTTAACTATGAGGCATTTTCAATTCCAGTAACTCTGTCAAAATGAAATGCAGACAGAACAAAAATATAGAACCTTTTATCTCCACTAGTAAAAAAAAAAAAAGAATAGAGTTCGTCCCACTTCCCATAGTTTAAAAAGTGACCTTTGCCCCACATAATCCATAAAGCAGTAAATTGTACAAAGGAGGAGTCAAGGGGCTTCAAAAAGATACAGAGAAAGCTTGCAGAGACATGCTCGTGTGTATATAAGATTTAAAGAGCTTTTACTAAAAAGCTGAATTTGGGGCAATCTTTGAATGCGAAAAGAAGAGAAGAACAATGTACGTTTAAAATTTTTTTTTTACTAAAAATGAACATTAAAAAACAGCTATAACAAATACCACCCTAACTTATGAATACAAAAAGAGAGCATTGAGACTCCCACAAATATTTATGGTACACAGTTCAATTAGGTTTTTTTAAACCAGAATCAGACTTTGCCTTTCACTTTATTTTGGAGTCTGCTCTCTTTCGAGGAACTTATCTTAATTTTCCAAAAATCATCAAACTGGAAAAAGGCAACAGTGGACACTGTCAGGAGCACTATAAACATTGCAATCTTTAGCAGATAAATCTAAGAACTGTTGCTTTTCCAAGCTCTCCAGCAGCATAAGATCAACTTCTAAGACCTATTTAAATCAGTGATTGATATGTGCACAATTATTTCCATCAAACTAGTAGAGTGGCAAAATTGTTGGCCTGATTATGTAGGTACAACAAATGACTCAGATCAGTTGTAATATCACTGCCGATGTTCCAGGCTCTTGGAAAAATGGGAGGCTACACAAACACAGCCCCTTTGTGTGTCAAATTATGTATCTACATTGTAGAAAGAATGAAGTTTAACTGCCACGGTTCAATGCTATGGAATCTTGTGATCTGTAGTTTTACAAGGTTTTTCACTCTCACTGCCAGAGAGTCGTGGTGGTGTCTCACCAAGCCACAACTCCCAAGAATCCATAACATTAAGCCATGGCAGTTAAAAGGGGTTAAACTGCCTTATTCCTACAGGGTAAATGTACCCACAGACAAAATAGCTATCTCGTTGACAAGGTGTTATATATTATGTCTGATCTTGAAAGCTCAGCAGGGTCTATCCTGGTTAGAATCTGGATGGAAGTTCATCAATAAATCCCAGGTGCTGAAGGAAGAAACTGGTCAAACTACCTGAGTGCTCCTAGTCTAAGAAAACTCTGAAATTCATGAGCCTACCATAAGTCAACAGACAACTTGGAAGGCACATAGCAAACTACCTGAGAATCCCTTGCCTAAGAAAACCTTGTGAAATTCATGAGGCTGCCATAGGTTGACAGGTGACTTGAAAGGCATTTGTGCACACAACAGGAAACCAAATAGTCCTTGCCTAAGCAAAGCCCTATGAAATTCATGAGGGTGCCGTAAGTCCACAGGGAACCTGGAAGGCACAATGGCAAACCACCTCTGATTATTCCATGCATAAGAAAACTGAACGCAACTCATGATGTCGTCATACATCAACAGGTGTCTTGGAAGACACACATATGCCAACAGTAAGCAATGCCTGAGTATTCCCTGTCTAAGCAAAACCTGTGGAATTCATGAGGTTGCCACAAGTCAACAGATGAGTAAGAAGACACATAAAGCCACCATATGTCAATAGGCAACTTGGAAGGCACAATGGCAAACAATCTGATCATTCATTGTCTAAGAAAACCCTATGAAACTAATGAGGGTGCCACAAATCAACAGATGATTTGAAAGGCACATATACACACGCAACAGCAAACTACCTGAGCATCTTTTGCTTAAGAAACGACTGTATAATTCCAGAGGCCATCATCAATCGACAGGCAACTTTAAAAGGCACACAGACACACACATATATGGACAGTCTCCAAGTTACAAACAAGATAGGTGCTGTAGGTCTGTTCTTAAGTTGAACTTGTATGTAAGTCAGAACAGGTACATTTTAAAAGTGTAACTCCACTTAAGTGTATATGTGTATCTATTTATATATGTATGTGTGTGTGTGTATATATATAGAGGGGGGGGGGAGCAAGCGAGCATATACACAAGCACACACAAGCTTTGGATACCATAGAGAAGGGTTAACTCCCCTGTGGTATTTGTTTTGTTGTTTGTCCCCCATTCAAAAGATTCACCTCATTGGATTTTTTTTTTAAAATGGCTTGTTGTGGAAACAAGGATTGGTGACAGTGGAGACACCTTTTCACCATGATAACTCTCCCATGAATGAATTTCCCTTCCTATGGATAGATATCTCTCACTTCCTGTTGTCTTACCCCTGTTCTTAACTATGACTCATTTGTAAGTTGGCTGTTTGTAACTCAGGAACTACCTGTATACATAAAACAGCAAACCCCCTCTGAGTACTCCTTGCCTAAGAAAACCCTATGAAATAATCATAAGTTGACAGGCAACTTGAGAGGCACATACACAATGGTCAACTGCTCTGAATAAAATCCCACATTATCTGCTTTGAACTGTGATATATGGCAATGTGGACTCAGATAACCCAGTTCAAAGCAGATTTTGAGGGATTTTCTGCCTTGATATTCTGGGTTATATGGCTGTGTGGAAGCACCCCAAGTCCGCGCTGGCATACAATCCACTTCAAAGCAGATAATGTGGGATTTTATACAGCTGTGTGGAAGGAATCAGACACGCCTTTTAAGTGCCCTTTTAAGTGCTTGGACACGTGTTTTCAAGCCCACAACTCTGAGCAAAGCCTGCAAAATTCATGAGGTTGCCCTAAGTCAAGAAGCAATTTGGAAGTATAGAGGGTTAAATAAGTTGTGCATAAATCCTGCGTGGATTAGTGACGGAAGTCAAGGTGGTGGGTAGCACTGGGGGTGGGTGGAGGGGTAACTGTATGGAGGGTTGTTTGTGTATGTGTGTTTGTTTGTGTATGTGTACATTTTTGCAACATATATGGTTGGTGTATTATCTTTTTGAAATAAAATTTAATTAAAAATTAAAAAAAACTGGGAAAAAAAAGAAGCAATTTGGAAGACACACATATACACACAATAGCAAACTACCCAAATACAGATACAGATACAATGTGGAACCACTCTGAGGGCCCTTCCACACAGCCAGATAATCCAGAATATCCAGGCTGAAAATCCCACAATATTTATTTATTTACTGCATTTCTCAGCCCGTAGGCAACTCAAGGTGATTAACAGGGCAAAATTCAATGCTTACAATGTCATAAATACAATTAAAACACAACATATAATAAAAACTAAACAAATAAAAAAAATATAAATTCATAATGTCTCCTTGTTTGAAAGGTTGTCCGGACTCATTGTCTAGTAGTTCCATTTTCCTGTGTCAGTTACTCTGCATTTGCAAACGCTTGTTCAAAAAGCCATGTCTTGACTTTTCCCCCTGGAATGTTAAAAGGGAGGTGCCCGATCTAATATCTATCGGAAGGGCGTTCCACAGCCGAGGGGTCACCATTGAGAAGGCCCCATCCCTCATCTGATTTGAACTGGAATATATGGCAGTGTAGACTCAGATAATAGAATAGAATCATAGAATCCTAGAGTTGGAAGAGACCTCATGGGCCACCCAGTCCAACCCCATTCTGCCAAGAAGCAGGAATATTGATTCAATGAACCCCTCACAGATGGCCATCCAGCCTCTGTTTAAAAGCTTCCAAAGAAGGCGCCTCCACCACACTCTGGGGCAGAGAGTTCCATTGCTGAATGGCTCTCACAGTCAGGAAGTTCTTCCTCATGTTCAGATGGAATCTCCTTTCTTGTAGTTTGAAGCCATTGTTCCGCATCCTAGTCTCCAGGGAAGCAGAAAACAAGCTTGC